ATCTGCATCATACCTGGGATATATGTATATCCCTTTCCCTATCCTTATCTGTATCAGTATCTGTATCTGTATATACATATGTACACCGATTAGTGGAAATTCCCAGCAGCATTAAATCAGCATAATTCCGTGATTTCACTATGCAATTTCCTTCGAACGATCTCAGACTTTGAACGTTTTGTTTTGGGTTGGATACAAAATGTGGCAAGTTTCCTTTGGTTTCGTTTGGTGCCGCGTGCTGCTGGGGCATGGCGTTCTCAATGTCAGCGGGAAAAGTAATTTACAATATCGATGCGACATGGCCGCAGCCTTGGCTGCTGGATGACTTCCATTTCCGCCACGCCTGCCGCCACGTTTTCCACAGGCTTTCCTTTGCCAAGCTGTCAGCTTTTTACCTGGCTTTGGAGCCTCCTCCTCCTCCTCCTCCTCCTCGTTCATTTTCATTTTTGTTTTTTGTTTTTGTTTTTTTCTGCTTGTATTATTTAACAGATGCCGCTGCCAATGAGGCGAAGATGAAGGCAGCGGCGGTGTTCTCATTACTTAAAAGCGACGCCAACGTTGATTGAACGAGTCGAGGGCGAAACGACACGGACACGACACGGGGGGGTTCGGTGGTAGCCTTGTAGGTTGGTGGCGGCGGAGGGTGTGAAAATTGTGAAAGTGAAACTGAGAAAATGTCAGTGCATTGCTGCAGCTCTGCGGGCATGACGGAGTGGAGTGTGTGGGACACGAACATGTAATTCGATTTGTAAGTCGATTATTGAGCTGCGGCAATCGATAGGCGAATGCAAGTGATAGCCACACTTAAGAGTATAAAGCCGCAGATAGCAGGCTCTTAGTTATCGGTGATGGCTTACGATGGCTGGGATACTCAATGGATTGAATTGATTATGATTTCCATTACCAAATTGAATTGCTCTGGCCTCAGTCTCAGCAGCCTCTGGCATCTTCCGCTCACTGCTCGACACGTGCATTTTTACACCGCTGAATATTTATCGAATAATGAATAAGTCCTGCCACACACACACAGACAGACAGACAGACAGACAGACAGGCAGGCAGCAATAGATTCCATTAGGCGTATTACCTAAGAAAAAGAGATACAAAATTTATTGAATTGCACCCAAAATGAACAGAACAGAAAGAGAGGGAGAGGGAGAAAGAGAGGTACCGATACAGAAATATGTAAAAAACGCACAAGACATGCGGATGCGGATGCGCGGATACATATTGCGGATGCAGAAAGGATACTTTGGATGCTTAAGGGGCAAATTTACGGATGTGCTCAACCGACTTGCAAGGTGGCTGCTACATCTTTTCGGCTTGGCTTTGTGGACTGTGGACTGGCCCGCCCTGCCGCTTTGGTTGTAAAAAGCGACGCATAAAAATGTGAATTTTATGCCCGTGTATTTAAAACGACAATAAGCACCGCCGAGACTGTGTTGGAGTCGACTGTGTGTGGTGCCTGGGGCAGTGGGGCAGAAGTTAAGCCCAAATCCTGCGCACAGGCAATCAAAACAAAATAAAAATAAAGGTGGAAGAACAACCATAAAGAGGCAGTACCGAGGAGTAGGAATAAAGCGAGACAGAGGGACAGAGGGACAGAGGGACAGAGAGACTGACAGACTGAGAGCAACAAATGCGCTCAATGAAGCTGAAAAGCAACAAATGGCGAAAAGAGAAGCGGATGAGCGGAAAAAGCGGAGGGAAATCAGTTTGAATGGCTGCCGAGAGCGACAGGGATGCAAGCAAATCAAATTGGAAAATGAAATGGAAACACGAAAGAAACTTTTCTTGCCCCCTCGATTGCCTTTTGCCTTGCTTCTTCATTTGGTTTCGTTTCGCCCAAGCACGAGCCCGAGCCCGAGCCCGTGCAGGTGAAGACTTCCGACTTCCGACTGCCGACTGGCGACTGACGACTGTGTCTGGCAGCTGCTGTACATGAAAATGAGTTTTCTTTTTGCCATTCTTTGGGCTTTTGATGCGCCAAACGAAGCCAAGCCAGGCCAAGCCAAGCCAAATAAAAATAATAATAAAATCAGCGCAATAAGCAAGCAATGAAAGCCACCAGAGAATCCACACAGAAAAAGTCAAACAGACAGAGACAGAGACAGGGACGGGGACGAGGACAGAGAGGAGGCTTCGATTTATACACAGATGAGCAATCATAAATATTAATGTTAAATACAGGACCCTGGAACCAGAGGGAGCGAAGGAACGGAACGCCAAATGGTATGCCAATCGAAATCGTGGGGGGCCATTGGACACGGCTTGATAGTCCCACGATTGGGCTCCTACTGCTACTGCTACTCCCTGCCTGGTCCCACCCCCACTACCACACACACAGGACTGGTACTGTTACAGGATGAATGTCTACCATAAATCTTCAGATAGTAGCTCTCTCTCTCGCTCAAAAAAAGAATGAAAAAAAGTAGCAGGATCTCTCCATTTGGCGACACTGAGGCGCTGTCTCCTGATTTATATGCCAACGTGCACAACGCTGCGTATGCTTATTTTTGCTTACTTTGCCATACATCCCTTCCTATCAATGACAGCGGCTTGATTTTGCATTTAAAAGTGAATTATATATCCGCAGATTTCCCAGTCAGTTTCCAGACAGTAAACAGACAACCCGCAGCCCAGCCCGCGAGAGGGTGCCCTGTCGGAGCGGCGACAGAGCGAGGGGAAACTGTGCAAACATCTTGCCACATAAGCGACAATTTATTTGCATATTTTCATGAGCAGGATATGGACAGACAATAGGGATGAGTGAGTTTTCCTGCTGGCTACTGGCTGTTGGCTGCTGGCTGCTGGCTGGAACAACAACAGAAAAGCGTAACGACTAATACATTTATTCAGAAGAAACAACTTGGTTAAGCAGGCCTTAAATAGGTCACAATCAAATGGGAGACTTGCTAGCATTATTTCCACTATTACCATTATGGCTTCAGCATTTCTTCAATCTGTACGATGAAGGGACTTTTCCGTCCTGTTTTTTTACTCAATTCCCATGAGTCATAGAACTCTGCCAGCTGATGCCAGCATTGTTAATTGTCCACTGATTATTGGGAGCCACTGTGTTGCCACTTAAAAATCGCTTTAGCACACAACAAATTGTTGTATTATTTCTGCTGTCTTTTTGTGCTGTTTGTTTGACCCATTTCAAATTGTTATCGAATTAATATTGTGACATATTTGAGTGTCGCATTGATCCCGTTATTCGGTGACAGAAACACACACACACACAGAGAGAGGGAGAGTGTGAGGGAGAGTGAGAGAGAAACCGCAGAATCCAAGCATTCTCCCCTTCCCTATCCCATTCCACACTCTGTTTGTGTTTAATTATGTATGTAGTAAGTGTAGTGTGTGTGTGTGTGTGTGTGTGTGTGTGTGCTTTGTGTTTACATGGCTGCCATGCCATGCTGTGCTCTGGCTGTGCTCTGCTGTGTTAGACATGGCGCTTACATTTCTGATATTCTGACTTGAATTTCATATAGTTTTTTTTTTTTTCCCAGCACCCCTCCCATTGCCCATTTTGGGTTTGTCTAACACATTTTCCGAAAGTATATTGAAACTTTTGTATTGTCACACTTTTGCACGTGTGCGTGTGTGTGTGTGTGTGTTTGTGTGTGTGTTTGTGTGTGTGTCTATTGTTTGGCTTGCCGCTGACTTCCGCTTTCAGTTCCGCTTCCGCCCGATAAACAAATGGCGCCAGCCAACGATTAATTATTTTGATTTCTAGACTAGGCTCCACATCCACCCCCACACGCCATACGAGAGAATAAGAATGAGGACACAAGCAGGGTGGACAGGGGGGGGTCTCATTGGGGCTTATTGGCAGTTTTTTTTTTTTTTGGTTTGCTTTGCCATAAATAATCGGCCTGCTTCCGATGAAGCATGTAGCCTGCAGATTAATGCCTGCAGAGTTATCGATAGTCGATAGCGGGGGGTCATTTATTGGGTGCATGCGGAGATGGGCTGCATCGTAAATCGATTGGTTTGCTGGTGGATTGTTGAACTCCCACAACTCGTCACTGATTGTCCATGGATTGTTTCCCAATTGAAAGCCATTCACTGTGAATGGCATGTGAATGGAATGAATCGTTCAAGCGTTTAAGCGTTTAACATTTCCTGCAGCGTAACGACAGAATCATTAGGAATTATGAATCGATTGAATGCAACCATTTTTCCATTTTGTCGATTGAACTATTTAGCTATTCAATCGATTGTATGTAAATGCCAACAAATAGCTCAAAGCAATACTACAAATATCTCAATAGCTTTAATTTGTGTGGTGTGGGAGGGGGCTGTGGGGGTTTACTTTGTCTACTTTGTGGCCGTGTGGCCATTAGAATTCCTTGGCAATTTTCTGCTGTTGTGTTGTTGCCTTTTGTGGTTTGCTGAGCCTATCAATAAACCAATTTTCACACAATTTCAGCCAGCCCCCTTTGCTACAGCTCTATCTGTGCATGTGTGTGTGCTTAAAACCACAACGAAGCACTTTTGGGCACGTTAATGCCACACACATACACATACATAAACATACACGAGGTGTAATTAATGATTGAACATATAACAACACCCAAACCAAACCCTCTCCCACTTTCACTCTCCCACTCCTTTGCTTCTTGCTTCTTGTCTGTGAGCACAAAATATGCTGCTCATTATTTTTACGCACACTAAGCACACTAGTGTGTGTGTGTGTGTGTGTGTACAGTGAGTGTGGGAGAGGTACGCACGTGCGGCTAAATTATGTTTTTGGCTTGATTACGTGGCAGGCAGGCCAGAGCCAGAGCCTGAGCCAGAGCCAGAGCCAGAGGAGGTGCGCTGCGGTGCTCGCATTAAAAATCAATTCGAGGAGCAGGCTACGTTGCCAAGTGCCCCACCACCACCCGCCACAAGCCCCACCCAGCCACAGCAGCAGCGGCATAATTTTATATTTGATTTTAATGACTCGACTAATCGCCATTTCCCCTCTTTGTTTTTTGGCTCATTTTCAGCAATCAGCCACAAAATGGAATGACCCGCGCTGCCGCGACAGGTGGCCCACACGTTGCTTAGCCAGGGGAGAATGCTGCCACAGTTAGCAGCAGCAGCAGCAACACTTCAACAAGCAGCAGCAACAGCAGCAACAGCCGCAACAGCAACAGCCAGCAGCAACATTCCGTGTGGGAATGGCCAGCGACGTCGCGTGGCAGCAGCAACAGACGGCTGCAACAACAATACGAAGCTCAACAAGAACAACAGCAACAGCAACAACACTAGCAGCAGCACCAGCAAAAAATTAAATCAAATGCATTCCAACGAAGAGCCGCCCATGACGGTGATCGTCGATGGAGGCGGAGGCGGAGGCGCAGGCGGACAGCAGCAGCAGCAGCAACAGCAGAAGGTGCCCCGCAGCGGCAGCCAGAGGTTGCGGAAAACGAGTTCCTCCAGTGCCAAGGCAGCGATACCAGTACCTGCAACGACAGCGTCAGCTGGCTCCATGCAACGCGCACATCGACAGCCATCGAACGCCTCTGGGACCGCCAGCTCCGATTCGAGAAGGCGTCGCTATCCGGGCAAGTCGGAGCGCCACGACCGACAGGATCGCCAGGATCGCCAGGAGGAGCGACGTGAGCGACGGGATCGACAGGATCGACAGGATCGACAGGAGCGCCAGGAGCAGATGCCACGCCTCGGGGCCGGACGACGGCACAGTGGTGCCTCCTCGCTGAGCGATGCGGTGGCCAGTGGTGGCGGCGGACGTGGCCGCCATCGCCGCGAGCCGCGATCGGGGGCCATCAGCTCCTCGACAGGCTCCAGCTGCAATGGCAGCTGCAGCTCCGACGATGGCGACTCCTCGCACACATCGTCCTCGTCCTCGTCCAGCTCCTCAGGCGAGCCGAATCTACCGTATCCCGGCTTCCCCGAGATATCCATGAAGGCTCTCACGCAGTACACGCGGCCACGCAACTGGTGCCTGATGCTCATCACCAATCCATATCCTTTTTGCACAAACAAAACAAAACAAAACCGAACAGAACAGAACAAAGCAGAACAGAACAGAACAGAAGCCTTCCATACAAATGGGGGGACTTGGGGAAGCTAGAGGACTGGGGGGGGGGGATGGCGACTCTAATTGCCATTGTCCTTCGCTGGCGTTTTACCCCTGGGTGCGGTGTGTCCTTGCCACAGATTTCACTGGCTGTGCGTTCGAGCCTATTGATTTTTCGCTTCTCTTTTTTCTGTTTTTTTTTTTGTCTTTCCTGGAAACTTCTCTTTTGCATAGGCCTAAGGACACACATGGGCGAGCTGCCGGCGAGCTCTTTTTAAATATTATTTCCAGGCACCAGGAGTGTGTCTCCATGTATTCAAAGGAGGTCCGCTACGAGGCGTCGCACGGGGGGAACATTACTTGCACTACATACGAGTATTTGATGTAATATTTGAATGCAGTGGCACTTGAAATATATCCAGTTAACATTTCCTTTTATTTCAGTATTTATTTGTATTTATTTGCACAATTTTGGATGAGTTTTTTACACATTACCATTGATAGTTACAGCCAGGAGAGCTTGGCTGCCTTCAGTCTGCACTGTCTCAGTACTAAGTATTTTATGCTATTTCCTAATTCGATTCCCATACACATACACACATATATTCTATATATTCTATATTCAATATATTCTATATTATATTCTCCAGCTACTTCCGTGTGGCATTCTGCAGCAAAACCTGAAAGTCAACCAAAAGAAATTTGCTGCCAGTCAGTACTTTAGCTGTCGATTAACTAGGCTACCTAGTGGGGGGTTTATCCACAGACCAACAGATCGAAGAGTATTCCACATTTTGCTAAGGGGAAATTCGATTTCGGTTGCTGGCTGCTGGCTGCTGGCTGGTACGTGAGCGCATAAATAATATATATGTATATCTGAGTGGGTTTCATCGCTGTTGTTATTCAGCTGTTTTTATTTTCCGCTCATCATACATTTTCCGCGGCATAAAGCGCGCCAATCGGTGGCATACCCATGGGCCCATGGTCCCCCATTCCTATCGAAACATATATCGCTACTGCTGGCGCCCCATGCCACATGCCGCATATGTGTACGAGTATTTGTGTGCATGAAAAATCGCTTTGCATATCGCTTTCCCAGTCGCGCGTCTTCAGCTTCCCGCTGCTCGCACTTCAGCATTCATTTCGAGCGAAATTAAAATTGACTGACGTTGATATTTATTTATGCAGCAGCCATGACACACACACACACACACACACACACACTCTTGAAAGACGCTGCCTGCCACTGCCACTGCCACGGAACTGTGCGCTGGCAGTTCGACTGGACTGGCAGGCGGAGGTAAATTATGATGATTGAGTTTAGGCGGCAGAGTCTCATTTTAGGCATCCGGCAAACGGCAAACGGCTTCGCTTGATGGCTTCGATTATCCACTTTGATATCACCCCCCGCCCTCATCATCCTTTGGGGTAGCTTGGATATGGAGCATGCCACAAGCACCTCTTACCTTCCACATAATCGCTCTCTCGACGCCTGCCACTTAATTGTTTGCCATAAATTTTGATTTTTGTCATTGTTTGCGTCTCTGTCATCTTTCTCCTGTATCCACTGTACCGTGTATTCCTTTCTATATCTTGCTAACATTTTATGGATTTTATTGTCGCTGTGGCTGCTGTCAAAGTTTACGATGCCTTGGCAGCCAGAGACGGAGACAGCGAAAGGGACATCGACAGAGATCCTCCTCTGGCTCTCCTCTGGCTACACTCTGCCCCAGCGGCAATTATTCTTTATCGGTTGCAGCACTCAATTGCTCGATGGGGAAAATCTCTTTTGCTGCTTGCAACTTTTGCCGCTTGCATTTCAATTGGCGGGCCAAGTAATCGAAATACTTTTCCTAAACTAATTTAAGTTTCAACTTTCAGTTGCCGTTTTAGAGCCATTGTTGTTGATGGCCTCATTGCCTTTGCTCCTTCCTGCCTTCCCCGTGGCCTGCCTTCCTCGTGGCCTGGCGACATTCGTCTCGGACTCGTCTCTGGCCAAGTTGCAGCTGAGGTCAGAGCTGAGTGGCGCTGGCGCTGGCGCTCGGTGGAGCGGTGTCTCGGCGCTGCTCAGACATTTGCCAAAAAGTTAAAGCCGCCTGAGTGTCGCCTGCCGCCGAATGGCCTTGCCTGGCGTATCGATAGCAGGCCAGTCCGAAAGTGTAATCAAATACGAGGCAGCCCGGCCTTGGAGCGCCGTGCCACTCCCTGGCTGCTCCAGCTACCCCAAATTAGCCAACGAGCAGCGCACACGTGGCCGGCCACATATCATTCGAAGAGCGCTGCCGGACACCCAGTGGCACGGGCGAGTGGCACGGGCCAGTGGCAGCTCCCTGCGAAGTTTCCACTTTGGACATTTTACGGCGCTTTTAGCGTGAAATGTGCATGGCTGGGTAGGGAGGGGCACGTGCAACGTTGCATGCGAGCCCACTCTGGGGAGACATACTGCCGCTGCCGCTGCTGCTGCTGCTGCTGGGTGGAGTCATCAGCATCTGGGCTGCATCCTTGTGCGGTGGCCATTAGGACCACACGGACACCAAACGCGGACACGCAGACATCATTAGCATGGAGTGTGCCTCAGCCTGTGCCTCAGCCTGGCCCTGGCTATGGGGTAATGTGAAACCGCCACTTCCACGCCCATAACTAATTATGACATGCACCAGAGGCAGATTACACACACACACACACACACACACACGTACGTGGATTGTATTCATTCACCAAAATGCCTCGCCTCGCCTTCTGCGGCATGCCACAACATTGGTGGGCCACACACTCGCACTGGCACCGCCATAATATGGGCAGAAAATCAGTTAGGAAATTCCAGAATATTCATTCCATGGGTAGGACGCGGCTAATGAAAGATAATGAATGAAAGAAAACTTCTCCTGCATTTGATAATTTTGTGGATCTTTCCTGGATGTGTTTTTTGTGCCATCGATGAGGTGCGTTGCCAGGGTCGAGGGAGTAGTGTGGAGTGGGTAGGGGGTAGGGGGTGGGACGGGGGGCCTTACTTTCGCTTGAGATCATCGCATAAAACCAATCAAATTTATCGCTTTCATTCGAGCAAAACTTTTGGGTCGCTGTCAGGCCAATTTATTTATTTTTTTTTTTTTAGTTTTTATTTTTTTTTCGCTTTCAGTTTCTTGGTGCTTGGTACGCTTTTCCTTTGCCTTTTATTCCCTGCTGTTTGCACCTCTTCAGGCCATTTGCCATTTTCCATTTCCCTCCATTCGCTTTCATTGCGTTTCTGCCCCCCTCCCACACCCCACACCCGTCTTTCGTGTATTCAGAAATTCTCAATCCTCAATCCGCTGTTCAGTCATCTTCCACGCCTTTTGCTCCTGAATTTCGGGCGGGGGGTGGGGTTCCATTGAGTATTTTGCCGCTGCTTTTGTTTGTGGGTCTTTTAATTTGTTGCGATTTCTGCACGCTTGCATGCGTCCCTGCCCCAGCCCCAGTCACAGCCCCAGCCACAGCCTTCTGGCCACACTTTCACTGCCTGCCACTGCCACTGGTACGCCTCCCCCCGCACCAGCCCACCATCCCACTCTGCCTCCCGTTGGCCGACTTTACGCTCGACTTAATTTGTTTACTGCTGGTTTGGGGGCCATCGCTGTTGCCAAATCAAAAATAATGCGCGCATACCCGGGAGTCTCCACCCCAAACCCCCACCGCACCCCACTGCACCCCGCCCCGCTGCTCCACTCGTGCGGATTGAAATGAAAGCATCGACAGGGTCGCTGTTGCCTGTGTCGCTGATGTCGCATGGGCTTTGCTGCTGCTGCAATATTTATGCTCCACCTGCCCTCCCACATGCGCCCCTTTGTCTGCGCCTTTCACATTTTGTTTTTTTTTTTTATATCCCCCCATCCCCCAATCACCCAAATCTGCCGCTGCCATGGCCGACCCCGACCCAGGTCTGACCTGCATGCATACGCGTATTGCTGCCCCGCATGGTGCTGCCCGCTGGTCCTTCGCACACTCTGCGGCTCCTAATGAATTGCCCGCCTCTCTCTCTTTTTTTGGTTTTATTTTGTTTTGGGGCAGCCTTAACTGCTGCTGCTGCTGCTGCTGCTGCTGCATGCTGCTCCCTCCCATTGTGCTGCTGCTGCACGTTTTATCTTTAATTGTGCGTTAATAGCGTAAACATTTTCGCCATTTGCCTGCCGCTCCTTAATTGCACTGCCATTTGCCATTTCCCATCTCCATGCAACGAGTATGCTCGTATGCCTGCTGCATAGGGGGTAGAAAGAATGAGTCCTTGGCGCTCATTTGGCAATGCATTAAGCCCAGCACGGGCATGGGCTTGGGCTTGGGCATGGGCTTGCTCCTGGCCTTGTGCGGGTTTGGATCTCTCTCTCTCTCTCTCTCTCTGTGTGTCCTTAGCTGTGGTGGCTGTTGGCTGTTGGCGAGTGTTTACCCAATCCAAGTGTGTGTGCAGCAAGCTTTTAGACGACAAGTGCCAGCTGAGGGTACTGCATCAGGTGGAATGCACCACCACAGCACATCCCATCACATCACATCACATCACATTGCATCCTCTTGCTGAGGGCCATGGCCGTGGGTGTACCGCTCTCCCACTCTCTCTCGCTCTCGCTGAGAGCTGGCCTGGCCAAATAGAACTGCGAACCGTGCATCGGGCAGCGGGCAGCGGGCCAGAACGTGATCGAATCGAGTGGCTTGTGGGAAATGGCAGTGAATGAAATGAATGACTTGACGGCCAGCCATCATCAATTTGCTCCGTTTGCAGCGTGGCAGCAGGAAGCCAAGCCAGGCAAACCAAAGCCATCAAAGGCACAGCCCCCAACTAGCAACGATATCGACGCGCAGCTACCCCACACCACACCCGCCCAATTGACACCCATTCAAATATGGTAATGCCACAGTGCATTTGTTCTTCGTTTTTGGTTGGGATATAACTAATATTATATTGGGATTGATTCGCGCTCGTGGCCCGAGGGGCGCTGCTGCATGACGCGCGACGCGATTAATGAAAGGTTTTTCGCATCTTTTGAATCGTATAAGCGATGCCATGGGAATAGGTCTGCCCCTTTGGCCATTGAATGCATTCAACCCACCAAACACTAGCACAGGGTATCACCACAACCGAAACGATGCCCAGCGATGCCCAGGCAGGGACCGACAAGCGACAAACCGCAACGATGTTGGGCTGCGGGAGGTGTGTGGTGTGCGGTGAGCAGCCCCAAGTTGACAAGCACTTGAGTGCGCATTAGAGGCGACTGCAAGTTGTTATCCACTGTCACTGCTCCGTCTGCGGGCTGCTTCACTGCACACTCCAGCTCCAGCTCCAGCCACTTGCCGCTCCCCCACTCGCTTTACCATATTTTGTTGTTGGTTGGGCATCCTTAACTGAATCAGCATTATTTGCATCGACTGGGATCCCCGCACGTGGTTCGAGCGCGTCTCCATACTGGTCATCCTGCTCAACTGCATCACCTTGGGCATGTACCAGCCCTGCGTGGACGATGCCTGTGTCACGAATCGCTGCAAGATACTGCAGGTGAGTAGCTCCACCCCCACACCCACTCCCACTCCCGCTCCCGCTCCCACTCCCCTTCCTGTTTGGCGTTGGTGTCACATTAAATGCCATTTACTTGAGCCATTTTTTGGCTCACTTCCTGAAGTGACGAAACGGCCGACAGAATGCCTGACTGCCTGCCTGCCTGCCTGCTGACTGATGACATCAAACGAGGCACTTCGGCTCATTAGACAGCAGCCACAACACGCGGCGGGGGGTGCTGCCACTGAGTGTGGCAAGTGGGGGACTGGCACTGGGACTGGGGGGAGTGTCAGGCAATTACAGAATGCGTGGGGGAGAATGCTTAGGAGGAGAGAGCGGCGCAACGTGCGAAAATGTCTGTAAATTATATGTGAGTCAGGCGACATTTGGGCCGCAGCCAAGTGTAAAGCAAAACGAGCCAGAACCAGGAACAGGACCTCCAGCAGGACCCCCAGCAGGACCCCCAACAGGACCCGCATAAGGACAAAGGACATGGGGGTTAGGTCTCTGAGCTGCACGAGCAGAAGACAAGGCAAGGACAAAGTCAAAATGACAACGACAGCCCCACAGTGACATAAGTGGGCACCCCCCCCACCCATCCGCCCAAAATGGCTGGGAATAAGTTGAAGGAGAAGCAGAAGAAAAGGAAGGCCAAGCAGAGTAGGGAATAGGGCAGGTCTGGGCGGGGCAGGGCAGGGCAGGATGACGATGATGTCGCCAAGGCAAGCTCATTTCGTGTGCATGCATGTGACGCCTTCTCTGATGTGGATGTCCTTGCCTGCTTGATGTCATCCAAAGCAGGTGGAGCATCATTTTGATGTGGGGCGGAGGGAGAGAGACAGAGACAGAGGGAGAGACAGAGAGAGACTCCCCCCACATAGTCGTTAGTGGCTGGCTGGCTGGGTGGCTGGCTGGCTGGCTGGCTAATTTTAATTTGATCAACTGTCGTTAGTTCGTTAGGTCTTCAATCGCATTCCCCCATGCTGGGGGAAATTCTAAGCTAATTTCCAAGGGTATAAATATGCGAATAAGAGCCGCAAACAGACGCTGCTCTCCAGGCACATTTACTGTTGTTGTCACCCTTCCTACATGTCTTTCTCCTCTCCTCTCTCCTCTCACCCCATGTAGATCTTCGATGACATCATCTTTGCGTTCTTTGCCCTGGAGATGACCATCAAAATGGTGGCCATGGGCATGTGCGGCAAGAACACCTACCTGGCCGACTCGTGGAACCGGCTGGACTTCTTCATCGTCCTCGCCGGCCTGCTCGAGTATGTGATGCACGTGGAGAACCTCAATCTGACGGCTATACGCACGATCCGGGTGCTGAGACCACTGCGGGCCATCAATCGCATACCCAGTAAGTCGCGTAGTCGTAGTCCCCTCAATCAATCAATCAATCAAACAATCAAACAATCAAACAATCGATCGATTACTTTGCAGGCATGCGGATCCTTGTGATGCTACTGCTGGACACGCTGCCCATGCTGGGCAATGTGCTGCTGCTCTGCTTCTTTGTGTTCTTCATCTTTGGCATCATCGGCGTCCAGCTGTGGCAGGGCATCTTGCGGCAGCGTTGCGCCCTGGAGCGGCCCGAGGGCATGATCCATCCCATCACGTGAGTACTCCAGCGGCATTTGGACTCTGATAATCTAAGGGGGGGGCCACTGGAGACCCCCAATGGGGTGGGATCTATCATGGATATTCGCGGGGTGCGGGAAGGGGCGGGCTTCCGGGATGCATACATACTCGTGTCTATGTATGTCTGTGTCTCTGTCTGAATCGTATCAAGCATCAAGCATCCGTTTCGTACATACATACATGCATTACATATGCATATGTACATATGTACATATATGTATATATGTGCCAGCATATATACATACATATATGTGTGCGTACTCGTTGTGTGTGGATTTCTTTTTGATTTTTGATTTTTGATTTTTTTGTTTGCTATGTAGCTCACTAGATCATCATCCAAGCAACATTTCAGCAGTGGGCAGGGGACCTCCAGCTGCCTCTTTCTTGTGTGCTCCTGTTGCTCTTTTTTTTTTGTTTTGGTTTTTGCTTAGCTTTTGCCTTAAAGCCACACACCAATACACTGCCATACACTCTCTCGCACACACACACACAGACCCCTCAACGCCCAACCGCTGTGCCAATTTTATCCACTGAACCCACTGAAATCTGCATACGAAAATCCTGTCAATTTTGATGAACTCTGCGCCTCCTTCCCCCCCCTCTCAGTTCCACTCTTTGTTTCTCTGTCGGTCTGCCTGCCTGTCTGTCTATCCATTTGTTATCCGCCACAGAGTTCCACTGTCCGTCCGTCTGTCTGTCTCAGGTCCATCCATGCCCGCGCATTTCTCCTTCCTCCATCCTCAGGCAGGGCGGCCGGCCAAAAGCATCCGTTCTGCGGATTCTGCCATTGACAGCAGGGGGGGGACTTGACTCGCAGATAATGGCTCAACATCGTTGCTTGACGTTGCGGTTCCTGACGTGCGAACACAGCCATTGAAAATGGTTTACTTTTTCATGGGAGCTGCCCAGAGCCAGCTGCGAACTGTGTCCACATGTGCTGGAGATATGCTCGTTCCCCAAGACTTTCCACACAAATTCCTGAGAACTTTCTGTGAACTTGATGGCAATTATTCGCCCAAAAATACAAAATACCCAAAGCATTTCTGTTCCAAGTGCTTCGAGTGCCTCCAGTGGCACTGTGAGAATTTAAACTTGGCCCAAAACAATCATTTATCATCGAAGCAGAGGACACACGCACACACGTACACAGAACACGCAGCTAACACACACACACAGCACACAGCACACAGCACACACACTCACATTAGCAGCGAATCGCCTTGAAGTCGACTACTGAAATTTTTGGGTCGCTGCGCGCTTAGCTCAAGGAATCCCCGCCCCCCCATTCCGTTCCGTTTCGTTCCGTTAGCCCTCACCCATCCTCACCATGTTTTGTGTTCTACCCTCTCTTCTGTTGCTGCTTCTGTTTTGTTGCTTTGTTTCCTTGTTTCTTGTTTCTTTGCTCTTTCGTTTGCTTACTTCCGCATGCTCTCCTCAGCTGTAAATAAATGTTTGTTCACACAGCCATATAGCATACCCCACCCCACCCCCACAGCGCCCACCCACCCACTCGTACATGTACAAAAAGAGTAGGAGAATACATATACATACATACATATGTACATATGTGTGTACATATATGCGTATGTATTTTTTGAATTTAATTTTGATGCAGTTCCACAGAATCGTGGCTCCAGTTTGGCTCTCTCTCTCTCTCTCTCGGTTGGGGCATACTCTCCCGTCAATTTTTCACATAATTAATTAACGCAGAACAGGCCGAGCATCTCGTATTACGAGTATTTCGCAAGAATATTTGCGCTGGTCTCCCATTTTGCATTTTCCATTTGCCATTTTGCATTTTAATTTTCATTGATTTTCTCTATTTCTATGTTTTTGTTGTTTCCTTTGAATTTAATTAATGCTTTAGCTTCAGTTTTGGTTTAATGTTTTTTTGAAATTAAATGCCTTTCGTTTGTAGCCCCTCTGCCCCGCTGCAGCGCGAGTGCTGCAATTGCCAAACTTTCCCTAGCTCCTTGTCCACACACACACACACACACGTCTTTATTTTTGTGTTAAGTTGTTTTTCGTGTGTGTTGTTTTTGTCATTCCACTGCACATTTGCACGGGCTCCACTCGCTCCACTCGCAATTAATGTTGCCAGGTGGGTGGTGGGAGGTGCGAGGTGTGGCTGTGTGACCGCCCCCTCTTTGAAGTCATGCTTTATCTACACCCATGCAATACACACATACAAACATGGACACACACACAGCCACACTCACACATACCAACGACAGACAGCGGCCAGCGATTTGTATATATACTTTATGGGGTCGGAAACGTTTCCTTCTCTGCGTTACACACATCCACTTTTACCACAAATCTAATATACCCCTTAACTCTTTTTTGAGTACGGGTATAAAAAAAAAAATTCTCTCCCTTTTGTTCTCTAAATATTCTGTTTATTTAAGTTTTCGAGTGTTGCAACCAAAACACACACAAAAACAAAAACCAAAAAAAAAAAAATAAAACAATAAATATTGTAGTACATAGTAGTAAATACTCTCGTAGCAAAAAAAAAAAAAAAAAACAATATGCAGATGACAAGCAAAAACAAAAAAAGAAATGTAAAAACAATGAAACAAAAACGAAAATCATACCGGGAACAAATTTTTTGTTTACAGGGGACTACCTGAAGTGTACAGAGTTCGAGTCCGTGTTAACTCGTAAGATAAAATGATTTATTTTTCCCCCTCTTAACCTAACCAACACACACACACACACAGACACACACACAGACACACGAGTACACATACAGTAAATACCAACTATAAACCACACACAGCCACACACACAGAAACCCAAACAGACACGAACATGAGCAGACGAAACCAGACACAAACAGATTCTAATAGCCGTAAACTACTCGCTACTAGTGCCCCACTAACTACTACTACTACTAATACTACTGCTAGATCCTGTCCAAATACTCGTACTTCTACTCAAATACTCAAATACTCAAATAAATGTAATCTCTAAACTCTCAATATCTCTTTCTCTCTCTCTTACTAAACGCTCTATAATCTGTTAAACCCCCCTCCACCCCTTAATAGTCCACTCTAATCCGTCACTCTGCCAACCCTGTTAACGCTCCTCTAATGCGAGAATCGCAGCGCACTCTCCTTCACACTCAAAGAGAGCCCTGAGACGATGGAATCGAAGGAAGCAGCTGGTGCTGCGCTCTGCTCTGCTGTGCTTTCTACTCGCTCAGGGCTCTCTTAAAGCAGCCCAACCTTTAGCAAAACAGTTCTTCCCAGCTAAAGCTCACTAAAGCTCACTAAAGCTCTTTCCTTCCACGATCAGCGATGACGGTTGAGCATTGATTGCAATCTCTGCTCAATCCTCATGGCTCTCTCTTCCCATCAATGAAGATCTAGCTACACCACAACACTCCGAATCTCTCTCTTTCCCTCTGTTTGTCAGTCTTTTAGCTACGCTCTGTCCCACTCTCACTCACACGTTAGATAGTCGACACACTCTCCACGTCTCTCTCTCTCTCTCTCTCTCTGTTTAGTAAGTGTGCATAAATACTCAATACATAATTAGTACAGTAAAGTACAGTAAAGTAAAGTAAAGTAAAGTACAGTACAGTAAAGTAAAGTATACCCTTGGCAATACGATAATACGAATACGAATTGTTATAACTCTCTCGCTCTCGCTCTCTCTGTATCTGTCTCTCTCTCTATAATCTATCAATCTACTTCTCTCTTCTCTCTCTGTCTGTATGAGTAATATTTGAATATACAAATACATAATACGTATATATACGATATACCCAACTATACTAAATACTCGCCACAACTAAAAACTAGACAACTAAACCACTCGTCAAACAGAATAGCTGTCTCTGCTCTCGTAACTCGTATCCTGATTCTGTGTATGTAAATGTCCAGTCACCACACACACACACACACACACACACACACGCACAACTGTACAACTGTACCTTAGACCCATGCCAAGTCCCAGTTCTAGTCCTAGTCCTAGCTCTAGTCCTACTCCCTATCCCTATCTTATCCCTTGGCTAACAACACCGCCCGAAAGTAGACCACAAAGTACTACAAATATAGCCATGAACATTACTCTCCACTCGATTTACTCGTATGTTTTAGCTTAGCTTTATATTTGTACCCTTACCTACTCGCCCGCCCTCCCTTCCCACCGTTTACGTACTTGCCATAGACTGGATGTTGATGTGGCACCAACTGTGGCACTCGAACCTGATCTCCACTCTCTCCACTAAATCTAACGCCAACAAATACACACACACACACTTGCAACGATATATAGTATATTATATAGAGTATATGTATATGTATGTATACATAAATAAGCGTACATTCTAGTATATGAAATTGAGGCCACATAGTGGCAAACAATATTTCCCCACTCTCTCTCAACTTTCCCCCGAAACCCTCAACCCTAACCCTAACCCTGCCCTGATTCTGATTCTAATTCTAATTCTGATTCTGACTCTTTTTCGGTTTCGGTTTCTGTTTCGCTTGTGTTGCGTTTGCCAAAAATGTTCGTTTTCGTTTTGCCATTTTCTGTTTCTTTTTTGACACACACACAAATGTGACATGATGCAGCAGTTACCCCCATAGAACCCCCCGTAGTACCCCCCAGACACACAGTAAGCAACAGCAACAGCAGCAGCAGCGGCAGCAGCAGCAGCGGCACTGACACTGTGGAACTACAGAAGTGACACCCATACCAATTAGCAAACAACTCGCACAGCACCTCGGGCACCAGGAGAAAGGAGAAGTACTCGTATTTCGCGTGGCTCCTCTATCATGCGCTGCATTTAAATGGGGGGTGTGTCGGGGCTCCCTTCGAGATTATTATTATAATAATGATGATGCTGTCAATGAATATATGGAGGTGGCAAAGTGTCCCACCGTTAGCAGAAGTTGCCGAATGCCGAATGTCGAAGCTGCTCCTGCTGCGGCTGCGGCTGCTGCTTCTCGCATTCACTTTTATTTAATATTAATTAATGTTTGGTTCATTTAATGTAAAAGTTTCGCTCCACACCCCCACTTGCAAACACACAGACACATAGGAACAGTGCAGAATACACACACACACACAGGCACACACAGCAGCAGCAGCAGCAGCAGCACAGTAAAACTCCCCCCAAAACACCCGCTCTCAAAATCCTTGCCTATTCCTGTGCGTGTGCATGTGCGTGTGCGTGCGTGTGTGTCTGTGTGCTTGTGTGACTGTGTGTTTTGTGTGGGCGTATTTACCTTTTGTAAGCTGAACTCTTTTTACAGGAAAAACCATCAGTTTCTATTGCAAAGGTATTTAAAGCTGCCCCCCTCCACCACATTCCACCGCCACCTTTCGCTCTCCCCCTTTCAAGTCACATGCCAACAAATCGAGTACAATATAATTACACACACATACACATACCCCACACACACACACACACACACACACTCACCACACATGAAGAACTTCATAAAGTTTAGCATACGGCTGCGAATTCCGCAAAAGAAATCTATGCAAGAAATGACAAAAAAAGAAGAAGAAAAGCCTGGAACAAGAAGGAGACCACAAAATTCACTTGCGGTGCTGGCCCCGATTACCCACCACCACACCACCCCACCAGCCCACCACCCCACCAGCCCACCACCCCACCAGCCCACCAGCCACCCACCACTATGGCACACAGTCACAGTGTCAGTGTCAGGCTCTTCGCCTCTCCGCTCTCCGCTCCACACCACTTACCACCAACTGCTGGGTAGAGAGTCGTCTCTGCCAGTGTCAGAGCCGTGCTTCCACGTGCATATTAAACACATTTTATTGTCACACACACACACGGCGACACACACACACATACGGTTGACACTCGCTTGATGGTGACATTTTTTGTTGTTGTATTATTATTTTTTGTTTTAAGTCTCGCGTTTTCTGCTCCGGCTGCCACCGCAACGGCTGCTGGTGGCTGCTGGTGGCTGCGTCGTGTGTCGGCCATTTTGTGGCAACATTGCGCGTTTAATTTAAATTGCTTTGGCGTTTTCATTTCCTTTTTTTATGTCCCACCATACCCATCCGCCTTACCCCTTGCTAGGCCCTGCCCCTGCCCCACCACTTCACAAAGAGTTTTGCTTTTTTCTTAGTTCTTAGTTCTTAGTTTTTATTTTTAATTTTTTGTTAGTTTTTGTTTGTGTTTTAGTTTGCGCTTTGAGCTTCGTTTTATGTCTATGGGAGCCATCTCTCTCTCTCTCTCTCTCTCTCTCTCTATCTCTCTGTGTGTCTCTCTTGCTCTGTTCTGCTCTTCTTGCGGTACAGTTGTGTCTTTCCGGTGGCTGACTGCACTTAAGCTTACTCGCTCGCTCGCTCGCTCGCTTTGCGTTCTCTATCGCTCGCCTGCTTCCACCAGCGCTCTCTAGCTCTTCCACTAACTCTCTGTCTATCGCTCTCTAGCTCGCCTTGAGTGTGCGGCTGAACTATAATTATCTGCCTCTATCGCTCTATCGCTTAGCTTGACGAAAGCTGTCTCTCTCTTTCTGTCTCACCTTGCCACATGCTCTTTATCGCTCTGTCGCTCTATCGCTAGCTCTCACTCGCTATCACTCGCTACTCGCTACTCGCTGTCTCTAACTTTTGCATTGGTCAGCCGTCTCTCACACACTCTCTGTCTCACTCTCACTGTCACTCTCACTGTCGCTGTCACGCTGTTCTTTTGTTTTTGCCTCACCCATTGGCCGTCTCTGTCACTCTAATTAGTTGAATGTTCTCGTGTAGCTGCGTGTAGCACGCGTGAGCAGATCAAGCCATGGAATAAATTAAGCACAAATTCTCTCTTCTGCAGAATTCCAAATTAATCGATTTATCGATCATTAATCGCTCTTTTTTTCCACATCTCGATGTATATGTTTACGATACGCATAAACATATCGACTAAACTGACTTGAATTTGATATGAACCACGATTATTAATTGTACTTTTTGTGCTCTCTCTTTCTCTCTCTCTCTCTTTATCTCTCTCTCTTTCTCTCTCTCTTTTTCTCTGTATTTCTCTCTCTCTCTTTCTCTCTCTCGTTGTCTATTTCTCTGGTGTGATCTTCTCTTTCGAACACTTTGTTTCTGTGTGTGCTGGATGTTTCGATTTCATTTAACAAATCGCATCACATGAATCGCATTTTGTCTCTACCCACATGTGCAGCCTGTCGCAGTACTACGAGTTCTCCAAGGATCAGGACTACATCTGCTCCACGCCCACCGACTCGGGCATGCATCTGTGCGGCAACTTCCCCCCCTACCGCAGCGGCTCACTGGTCTGCAATGGTAAGTGGTGTCCGGTGTCCGGTGTCCCGTGTCCCGAGTCCCGAGTCTGTAATCCCTACTCTTCCTCCTCCTCCTGCTCCGCCTCAATTACATTAACTTTAAAGCTAAATGAAGTGCAAATTGCGCTGTAATCAAATTTGATGGCGTTTTTAATTGCTCTCCCTCGAGGTTAATGATGAGCTTAAATTGAGCATCAGCTGGGGGGAGGAGTGGAACCGGAACCGGAACCACCCCACCAACCAGTAGCACAAACAGAAACAGCAGCAAAAGCAATCACAATCACAATTTCGTACAACGATACTGACACCTCCTACCACTCGTATTCCTCCCATTCCCATCGCTTATTCCCTTTCCTTTCGCAGAGGAGGCCAAGCTGTTCGACTTCAATGAGCCGACGAACACCTCGTGCGTCAACTGGAACCAGTACTACACAACGTGCAAGCAGACCGGCGAGAATCCCTTTCAGGGCACCATTTCGTTTGACAACATTGGCATGGCCTGGGTGGCCATATTCCTGGTAAGTGCAGCTACTGCTGGATTCCTTTTCTTTCTCATACTCATTCTCATACTCTCGTGCTATCAAAGTGTAATTAAATGCGGGCTTACTGCGCTTGAGAGGCTCGAAAACAGTGTTGGCAATGGCTAAACAGTCCCAGATCCAAGTCAGTGCTGGGAACGAACGCGTATCTTTGGCCCAACAAGTGCCTAACAATCGCAAACATTATCCACATGATAACTCGTGCTATTTATTGCCCACATCACAGCACACCACACCACACCACAGTTGGTTTCGTTTCATTTCGTTGAATTTCAGAGGGAAAATGTAGACTCCTCTCGCTCTCTTCTTGCCGACCATCCGATTTCCAATTAGTGTTCAACTTTGTTCAACAAATACGAGTGGCAACAAGCGGAGGAGCGAGCAAAACGAGCAGCCATGTTGCATGTTAATTCGGTGTCAACTCAGCTGTGGTGGCAACGCTTTCAGTGAGCCAATAGAACAAAGCAGGGACAGGGACCTCGACATCGACCTCGACATCGACCTCGACCTCGCTGCTGTATTCATAGCAGCGCATCATTTTGAGGGAGCGAAAAGTTTGCCAAGCGGGCACAGGGAAGGGGCGCGGAAAGTGATAGGTTCGCGTTAGTTATACTCGCAAGTGATAGCCCACAGAATTGGATCAGTTTCCCCCTAGCTAATGAGGGGCCCTCACGTTTCAGGCATTAATTGATATGCCAATTAGAGAGGGCGCATGACGCACACCGCACACCGCACCCCGCACACCACACACCGCGAGCGAGTCAGTCCATTGATATGCAGGTCAAACGATGTAATTAATTCCAAATCAAGTGCACATTAAGCCATGAAGCTAGGAAGCTGCCAACTGAGGTGCCTGGCGGAAGCTGAGCGGAGTGGTGCTCGGATTGCATGGGGCATATTTCATTCTGTTACGGGTTAAGCTCCCCCCTCCCACTGATTGGCTCGTACGTTGGAGTTGGGAGTTGGATTTGGTAGCCAAAAGAAAGGAGGGGACTTAACATCAGGGTACTTGACTGTACTCTTCAGAGGGATGAGAGCCAAGGATAGGCTTTGTTTTAGTTAGCTGAAGCTTTCAACAGGTAATCTGTCTGCCATACCGCATGCCCCTAGCCCCATGCCCCATGCCCCCATTCGACACGATCCCAGCCGCTGCTGAGCACGAATATCGCAGCACATTACGCATACGTGACGTGGTGCAGAAGGCCGAAAGGCAAATCCTAATTGCTCCGCCCACGCCTGACCACGCCCGGACCATGGCACGCTGTGGCAGGGGCAGGGGCTGGGGCTGGGGCAGCGGCAGGGGCGAGAACAATAAAAGGCCAAAGCTAAAGCTAAACGCTTGCCTCCATATGCGCCCGTACATTTAACCTCCATTTGATATCAAGGCATACAAGTGTGTCTATGCATGTGTATTGTATCCCTGTATCCCTGTACCCCTGTGTGTGTGTGCTAATTATGGTGAAATATTTGTTGGATTTGCAGGTCATCTCGCTGGAGGGCTGGACGGACATAATGTATTACGTGCAGGATGCGCACAGCTTTTGGGATTGGATCTACTTTGTACTGCTGATTGTGGTGAGTGAGTGCTATACACGGTGCGGGTGCGGGGTGCGGGCCCGGCCCCAAAATTTGATCACGAGCTCAATGAATATTCAATGGATGGTTGGGCAGGGCTTGGAGCGACCTGCACATTCAGCTGGCCGGACTAATTGAGCTGAAGCTGAAGCTGATTCCGAAGCTGCAGCTGCAGCGATGACGGGCTGGTGCATGGGGAGAGGTGCAGCAATTCCGATTACTGCATCCAAAAGTATTCTAAAGCAATTTGCCAATGTAAATAAGTAAATTACTTTTCAACTACAGCCAAAAATATATACACACACACACACAGACAGACCGACAGACAGGCCGACAGACAGCCCCCAAAAGTTTGTCTACACAGGCAAAAAAAAAAAAAAAAAAAAAAAATGAAAATCCATTGCCAAACAATAGCTAAAAAATAGGGGGTAATATTTACCATCGCCAGGAAGTGCGATTAAATATAATATGGATCAGGAACTGTCTGTGCTGCTATGGGAACGATCGAAGAGATTGGAGGCATCCAGTTCGAAATTGATTTCAATTTCTTCGAGTGTACGAGTGTACGTTGAAGGCTTTGAAATTCATGATGCTGTTGCACTGTCGACCAGCATCTGGCAACATGTTGCAATGCAGACAGGCAGAGAGAGCTGTAGAGCCTCTCCGCTCTCCATTGTCCACTGTCCACTGTCCCCTGTCCGGGTGCAGGGGGGGGGCACACTTTGGTCGGACGGACTTCGAGTGGACTCCAGTCTGTTGTTGTGTCATTTGCATGGCAGTATTCGTGCTCAGGTGTCCTTGGACCAATTAAAAGCCTTTAAGTGCATACAAACAGAGCTACAATTGCAGATGGATGCACAGAGACGGACACAGAAACAGAAACAGATACAGATACAGCTACAGTTGGAGCAGTTGCAGCAGTTGCAGCAGTTGCAGGCATATACTGAGAGATACGCATGAGGAAAATTTCATTATTTATGTTTGAAGTTTGCACAGTTTCCCTCCTCCATCCCAGGCACCATGCCTGTTTTCTTTCCCTCTGATGATGATTTTTCTCATCCCGGCTACAACTTTTGGCATGCAAATAGTTTTCCTGCAGTCTGCATTACACGCTCTCCTCTCTCTCTCTCTCTCTCTCTCTCCATTCCTTGACATATGTTTCCAATTTAAAGTTGTCCCGAAACTCGGTGTGCTCTGCCTTTAAAGTGGGACCAGTTGGAAGCTGTCTTTATGGAGAAAGTACTCAGGCACAGACCACAAAACTAATTCAATCAATTGGCATTCGATGGCTTCCAAAGTATGCATTGGCGAACCCTCGACAGGACTGGGGATGAGTCCGAGCATTAGGCTGCAATCTGGCAGCAGATAGCCGCTAATTGAATTTAAGTGGATGGATTAAAATGCTTCCTGCGAAGGCCAGCCAGCAGCAACGAAAACCAAACCTACACAAAACCAACCAAGTCAGTGTAAAAGTAAAAGTAAAAGTTTCAGTTCGCATTTGTCGCCCCGCCAGAAACGAGAATGAAAACGAAAACGAAAACTTTTTAACGGAAATGCGAAAAGTTTTTGCGGGAACTGCTGAGCTGAGCTGAGCAGAGTCCTGAGCCTCACCTGCCGTTGGGTACCAGCCTGGACTGGCCCCCCCTTCAGTCCTGGGCGTGCTTACATTTACCTCCACGTAGCACTGCCACAGGGCGAAATGGATGGATATTTGATGCTAATACGCGGATAATATTCGGACATTTTGAGCATTGATTTTTAAGGGGGGGTTTACGCTGGGATAACTCCTGGCTTACGAGGGGATAATCGTTAATGCATTGTGTACTATTTTGTATTGCAGATCGGGTCGTTCTTTATGATCAACCTATGCCTGGTCGTCATCGCCACCCAGTTCTCGGAGACGAAGAAGCGCGAGATGGAGCGCATGCGACAGGAACGGGCCCGGTACACGTCCACATCGACGCTGGCGAGCAGCACAAACAACTCGGAGCCGGCCACATGCTACGCGGAGATAGTCAAATACATCGCCCATCTGTGGCGGCGCTTCAAGAGACGAATGTTAAAGAAGTACAGATTATATAAGTATGCTGCTTGTACCTTTTGATTTGATTCAATTACGATTTTCATTTGTTATTTCCGTTTCCGATATGAGTTCTCTCTCTCTGTCTATGTCTATGTCTCTCCCCTGACTCTCTCTCTCTCTCTCTCCTCTCCACTCTCGGAGTCTCCACCAAAAAGTTCTCTTTCACGAAAAGCAAAGCAAAGCAAAGCAAAGAAAAGCAAAGCAAAGCTCTAGGCTTTAGTCACTTGAAAACTGATTGATTACTAACCTAACCCATTAAAGCGAGTAATTAGCGCACTCAACTCTCAGCCAGAGCCAGAGCCAGAGCCCACCCCCCTACTGAGACTCTCTGACGGGGGGAGGGAGGCGAAAATGGATTTTCTCGATGTATTTCCTCGATGCCAGCCCCAACCTCAGGCGATTCTCTCGCACACACACTCTCACTCACTTCAAAGAGATGATTGACGAAGCCCCTGGGTTTAATTCGGGGTTTTCAGTTGCCCCTATTCAATGCCATATTAAATGGTGTTCCTTGGTTCCTTGCCTTATGTTCGCCGTTCCTCTTTTTCATGCGTTCCGTTCCGTTCTGTTCTGTTTATCCGTTCCATATATACTTTTCCGTTTATTTATTAACCATTTCAATACCATTCACTGCATTCCCCATAGCTACGTTAGGGGTTATGTTTCGTTTTCCCCGTTTACCCGTTCCATTTCGTTCCATTCCTCTGCTGCTTCGTTTGATTCCTTCGTTCCATGGTTCCATGCACCATTCATTTAGCCCTTTGCAGGCACATTCACTCCCACTTCCACTTCTCCTCTCCATGCCATTCCATTCCACTTCACCGTTCCATTCCGTTTTAGTTTCCGCTCTGGGGTTTTACCTTCGCGGCGCTTATTCCTTCTTATTTCGATGTTGATTTATGAAAAATTCATTTCAACGTATCCCTGGCATCCCTTCCCATTTGCATAGACATTTCCCCTGCATCTAGTTTGGTTTGGTTTTCCATTTTCATTTTCATTTTGTGCAGTTGTCAGCCGCGTTTTTTTTTCTCCGGGCTTCTTGCATTTTTTATGACTTTTCGTTTTTTCAATTATTATTTTTGGACGTGCATCCGTGTGTCGCTCCGCTTATATAGCACAACAAAAGAGTGCGAGTAGAGCACTGGGAATGCGTAGATTAGCAGCGCGAATAGTCGAGGGCTCGCCCATAGATGGGCGGGGGAGCGTAGCGGCTAGACTAGACTCGCTCTCTCTCTCTCCCTCTCGCTCTCTCTCTCCTTTGAGATGTGCATCTAAAGCAACCCAACATGCATACATTGGCGCCAGGGGGTATAGAAGGTCCCCTGGGATGCTTACATATTGTTGATCTCGTAGATTAACCCAACCAATCCACCAGCTCAGCTCGATATATGCCGCACAGTGATGCAGCACACACACACACACACACACACACACAGACCCCCGTTCCATGTTGAATGCCGTGATGCAACACTGATTCCACAGCTGGAACTCATGTTAATTTGGATCATTTGCATTTTTGTACCGCTGTTGTCCTTAGTTCATTCATTTGATTGAATTATGTAATTGCCATTGTTGTCTGTCTAATTGCTAAGCACACACACACACACACACACACACGCACACACCTGAAGCCACACTACAGCACAGAGACACAGAGACACAGATACACAGCAGCTCCACAGATCCAACTTGGGTCTAATGAGAGTGCACGTACAATCCACCCAGCAACCCCGCACGTGCAACAGCCCCATCGGTTGACCCTGCCCCCAAAGTACAACCCCAGTACCCCCCCAGCCCCCAGCCCACCCCACAGAGAACACGATGTTTTGTGTACAGACATATGTGTGAATTACGCGAATTGCCAGCCAACTTGTTACTAATCAAATTTGGTTTTCCACACCACCCCACACCACCACCACCACCACCCCCCCACGAAACACCACCCCACCAAACAACACAACCACCACCTGACCTGACCTGACCTGACCTGGCCACAATACAGGTACCAGCGGCAGCAGCGCAAGGAGGGACTGCTGCCCAATGCCGACAATCTGACCTTCTCGCCGTCACGCATCAAGTGCCACCATCCCAAGTGCCCCAAGTACAGTAATCGCAAGCATCCGTCCGGCATTCAGGATCAGATGATTACCGTCATGGTGCCGCTCAACTCAAACTCGAATTCCAACAACAACAACAACAACACCAACAATCACAATGGCAGCAGCACCAACACGATGGCCAACACCAATGCGAATGCCAGCAACAATGTGCCCAGCTGCACCACAGTGGCATTGGTGAACGGTATAAATGGCAGCACGGCCAGTGTGACCATGTCGACAGCGCAGCATCAACAGGCCGCTCAGCAGCAGCAACAGCAGCAGCAGCAACAGCAGCAGCAGCACTCATCCTCCGACAAAACCGAACAGTCTCTGGGCGAGGCAGCGGCGGCCTGTGGCCTCGGCGGCGGAATGGTCATGCCACGCAGCTCCTCGATGAAAAAGTCCTCACAGCTGAAGCCCGAGGGCAGTGCCGGCGAGCAGAAGACAATTCTGCTGAAGTTCCCACAGCAGATCATGGACTCGGAGCAGCTGATTGTGAGTATCTGTCAATCGATCATCGATCACATCAGTCCATCAGTCCATTCACACACCATACACACCACACACGCTCTGGTCCACCGGGCCACAGAATCCATTCGAACGGAAAACAGCAAACTGCAAACAGCAACAGATAAAGCCACAGAACAGAATATATTTGTATCTCGCAAAATTGCCACACAAAAACAGACGAAGCTGACAAACCAACCGATTTATCCACAAATGGAATGCCGTCAACAACAAAAACAAAAAACAAAAAACAGAAAAATGATAATAATAAAATTCTTTCATATTTGTTATAAACATTTGCCAATCTCGTAGCTGCAGTTGGGAAATTTAGGCAAGGTACTAACTAACTAACACACTCAAAAAACGTTCAATTAAATAAAACAAAATAAAAATATGTACACCAGAGGGTTTTTCGGACACACCGAATCCTGGCGGCCCTTGCCATTGCAATTTGTTTTACCATTGGCAAGGGCATTCAGTCGCTGCACTAAAGAAAACATACAGCAAAAAAAAAAAAAACATAAAAATAAGTGCGGAAAAGCGTTTGCAAAAACATATCCCGTACAAATTGGAGCTATAAGCGAATGCCCGCATTTGTTTGCATATTAAAAATACAGTTGAAATCGTTATCACGTTTTTTTTTTTGTCGATTGTGTATGTAAATATGTACGCGTATAAGTGCATTTAAATTTATGAATACACAGGTACCTTTGTATATAGAGCGTTGATTGCCCCATTGAGTTGCTGAATCTGAATCTATTGCCCATTGTCCTGCCATTGTCCCCACATTTTCTCGCTTGAATGCCAATTAATTATTTATCTCATTTCGTTTCTATTTGAATATGTGAAATTGATACAATTTTAATGACTCGCAATAGCAGAGGCGAAGGCATTTTTCCATTATATTACGGTTCCCCATAAATGTACTCACAATGGGGGTAAATTGATCCAATAAAAGTATTCAAACGGACTGCTTTCCATTCGTAAAGAAAAAGAGCGCAGATTATGCTGCAAGCAGTTCAACTACCTAACCTTCATTTCCGTTATCAAGCAGGAGTCAAGCAGCGCAGTCTTTCGTTTAGACCTGCTGGAAGGCTATGCCTGGGCTTTGGGCGTTCGTTTTCATTTCAACCTTCCAATAGTCGCTGACAAAAGTCTCCTCCCCATCCAGCAAAGCAACTCACAGCAACTTTCCCATGTCCTTTTGTGTGTCCTGCACAGTGTAAGCCCTACCCAGTAGCTTTTGCATTGTCCTCAGCATTTCTCAGAGCCGAACGAACACTGACCCACCCCCCTCCGCCGTGTAGAGACTCCGCTTCCCTGCCATTATCATAGCCATGAGTGAGAGATCTGGCATTTCTAATTCTCGCATACTCTTGAATACAGAGCCACCCGTGCACCTCGGGATTCCTCAGTCCGCCCACTTCGGCCAGCCGGCGTCCGTCGGTGATGTTCAACGAGTACGTGCTGCTGCACACGCCTCCCGCCCTCAGCGCGGAGCAGCCTGCCCTGACACCGGGCAGCGCCACCGCCCCCCCAGCGGCAACAACCATTGCCACTGTTGCCACAGTGGCGGGAACAGCAGCAGCTGCGGCGGCGGCAGCAGCGTCAGCGGCAGCGACATCAGCAGCAGCATCGACATCGGCGGCAGGTTCCGGTGGCAGCAACAGCCACAGCCACAGCAACCACAGTGGTGGCAGTGGCAGTGGTGGTGGTGGTGGTGCGACGGTCCCAGAGAAAAGCACCACCATATTCTCCACGGAGAAGATGACCCAGGTCGGCGATGGCAGCATCTGGCAGGTGAGTGATTGAGCAGATCCAGCATGATTGAGGTTCCGCAAGACTCCGTAACACTCTCCGCTGTTTCCGAGCAGGTGAACCTGCCGCAGACCATCGACACCATCGCCAATCCATATGCAGATTGCTCCGAGCTGGGTATACACGATGCGATGACTTGTCAAGAGCTGTTAGCATTCTCTGTGGCCTTTTCAGCGGCCCTGCCGACGGGACAGAGCACGCTCGAGTCCTTTTACACGTCGCTGGCCCGCTGCGATCCACACACCGCTGAGGCGCTTAAGGCCCAGCACAAGCGGCCACCGACGACGACCACCACGAACACGGGACAAGGACAAGGACAGGCCCAGGCCCAGGCCCAGTCCCAGTTAGTCTCTGTCCAGTCACCGGGACATTTCCAGCCATCGCCGGATCAGGCGACGGGTGGAACTGGCGATGCCTTCGAGCTGAGCGGCGCGCCCAGCACTGTGGTCGCCGTCTCAGGGGCTGTGGGACCTGGGGAGTCGCAGGCAGCAGCCACCCACCATCGCCAGCGGCGAGAACATCACTCGCATCCCCACCAGCATCAGCACCAGCATCAGCATCAGCACCAGCATCACCACAATAATAACAACAACAGCCACAGCAGGAACAACAATGGACACAGATCACGAGGCCACACATCCCACGGGCAGGGACATGGGCGCGATCATGGCGATCATGGTGGTCCCACGGGCAACTACATGGAGGACTACGCCTGCTGCTACGACCTGTACCAGAACGCCCTCTCGCCGCTGGAGGAGCGACACCATCAGCGATCGCCGGCGATGCGCGGCCTGATCGCCTCCTACCGCTGCCTGTCGCGCATCTGCAGCTACGTCCGGCGCTACATCAGGCGCCTGGTGGAGCACAAGTACTTCCAGCAGGGCATCCTGCTGGCCATACTGATCAACACGCTCTCCATGGGCATCGAGTACCACAACCAGCCGCCGGAGCTCACGGCCATCGTGGAGACCAGCAACATTGTCTTCTCCGGCATCTTTGCCGTCGAGATGCTGCTCAAGGTGGTGGCCGAGGGGCCCTTCCGCTACATAGCCAATGGATTCAATGTCTTTGACGGCATAATTGTCATACTCAGGTGAGCGAGTTGTTTCCCAGCGATTCGTTGCCTTCTCGTTCTCGTTACACTTAATATTGCTGCATTGCTCTCCATCAGCGCCATTGAGATATGCCAACAGTTTTTGGGCAACGGCACGGGGGGCGGTGGCTCCGGTTTGTCGGTTCTGCGCACATTCCGGCTGCTCCGCATCCTCAAGCTCGTCCGCTTCATGCCGAATCTGCGGCGGCAGCTGTTCGTCATGCTGCGCACCATGGACAACGTGGCCGTCTTCTTCTCCCTGCTGGTACTGTTTATATTCATCTTCAGGTGAGTTCGAAAGTGCCCTCAAAAGCCAGTCCAACAACCAACAACACGATGAAACTAACACAAAGAAGGAAATCAAAATCAAAAAAAGAAAATTAATACACACACACACGCGCACACAAATATCTAACCAATACTAACACACACATACATACATACATACATACATACATATAGTATAAACACACACATACAATACACGAAGAAGGCGGAGATAACAAAAGATAATGAAGTAACGAAAAGAAAGAAAATCCAATCAGAGTTAATCAACGACTAATCGATAGCCGATTAAACGGCTATCGAACGCGAAAAAACCCCCCCAAAAACAAAAACGATCCCCAAAAATTAAGAAGAAAGAAAGTAAATCCAAACAAGTCCCAGCCAAAATAAAAATAAGAATGGAATCGACAAGTACGAAATATACCGTACCCGACATTACCACCACCCGATATTACCCACAAGCAGTTCAAGTTTGTTAGCCCATTCATAGCAAGGCGGCTACCGTCGACCGTTTACCGTCTAACAGTTCTTAGAGCATAGCTGCTTACCATACAGTTCAATCGATCCACCCACGAGCCCATGAAGCACCCACTCAACTCAACCCATGAACCGAACCACTCATATCCTGTCCCTCCCACCCTCCATATTGAAGTACAGTCTCGTCCCTCACCATCTACACATCGAATGCATATCTGCCACAGTCAAACGTGGGAGATTTGGCTAATTTCTTCATGCAATTCCCAAAACACACACACCCTCCTTCTCTCTCTCCCCCTCTCTCATTTAACCACACACCCCCCACCTATGTATTAGCCACCCTCACCCAACCCGTCGAAATTGTGCTCTGGTACTCGTAATTAAATTACTCGTAACTGTACTCGTTAATATTGTACTACTCGTATGCTTTGACACGATCATTCTACCTATTTGTACCCAAGTACCGCTGCGTACCACTTGAGTAATACCTACATATGTATTTGAGTAAAGATTTGCCTAAATGTCTCTCTATCCCTCTCTCTCTCGCTCTCTCTCTCTCCAATCGATCTCCCAATTAAACACAAACACATTTAAGCTCTCTCTCGCTCTCTCTCTCTCTCTCTATTACACTCTCTGTCTCTTTGTCTCTCTCGCTCTCTCTCTCAGTAACATATTTGAAACGTAATGAAGAAACGTAGTTAGCGTTACGATTTTGGTAACTTTGTAAGCAATCGATTCTCTCGTACAAGCAAGAACTGTACCACCCCCTCCCCCCACCCGTATCACTTGCTTTTGATCTCTTTCCCCACTCCACACATTCATTCCTCTCTCTCTCTCTCTCTGCTGTAAGTTGTCGTACACTTTGACTTCTCGCTCGCTCACTTGCATTACTCTCTCTCTCTCTCTCTCTTTCACACCCACACACGATCGAGTGGATTTATTCATTCTCTCTCTCTCACTCTCTCTCTGTCTATATACAACTGTCTCACTTGATGCACCATCAGTATGATGGCTCCGCGTACAATTTAAATTCTTTTACAGCTTATAGTCAAGGATATTCGTACTCGCTTAGTCCCCCCGTTTCAAATTCCAAAATCACTCACTACTTCTGCCACTCTTACACTCCAATTCAATTTCTGCTCAAAATTCATTTCGTTTACTTGAGTTTCCACACCGATACACCGACAACAAGAACACCAACAGACACAGTAACTATCTCAATGAATAAAGACACACACAAACAAATTAGTTAGCCAGTTAGTTAGCCAAAAATAAGCTTTATTCCAATTCAAATTAACTAAATGTGTGTTTTAGCTTCTTAGCGTTAACCAACACTGAAACACACACACACCACACCCCACACAACCACAGCCACACTCAGAGAGACACTGGAACGTTGGCTTGCGAGCAACTTGAGCTTTACACGCAGAGACACGCACAGACGCGAAGAGACACGCAGAGACACGAACAGACACGCAGACACACCACAAGAACAATAGCCACACTCAGAGAGACACTAGAACTTTTGCTTGCGAGCAACTTGAGCTTTAAGTGCAGAGCCATGCAAAGACACGCACGCAGATCGTACACACAACACACACCACACAGCCACAGCCACACTCAGGGAGACACTGGAACTTTGGCTTGCGAGCAACTTGAGCTTTTCACACAGAGCCACGCACAAACACGCAGAGACACGAACAGACACGCAGAGACATGCACAGACACGCCGTTGCAGTTTTGATATTACTCGTACTCGATATATACTCGCCCTCTCTCTTTCTATGACTCTCTCTCTCTCTCTCTATCGCTATAATATATATGATTACTCGTAATTGATAATACTCGTACTCGTATAACTATGGTATTGTATCAATTTCACACACAATAGAACACAATACAACACACGTACCCCACACGTACACATACAGTACAAGATAATTAGCTTGTCTAGTTGCTAAAGTAAAAGTAATCGAGTTTGTGTAGTTAGAATAGCAAAACAGCTGCAACACATGCAACATGCAACACATACATACTACGAGACATACAATAAGTCACTCTCCAGATACACATACCACTCGTATCTGCCGCTACATACTACTACTACTACTACTACTCGTACATATCGTGTACCGAATGCCACCGATTAAAGAAATTAATGAAAATGCCATGCCGTATTTGAAGCCAGCGTCGATAGCTGTACGAGACGACTGAAACCAAAGCCGATAAACCAACCAACTCGATAAACGACCCTTGATTAAACTCGAATGAGAAACCTAAACCTAAACCGCAAAACAGACCACAAACCAAACCAAACCAAGCCAAACCAAAAATCTGAATGAATAACCCCACCAAACCAAACCAAACCAAACCAAACCAAACCAAACCCCATGTCACCATCCGTCACCCACCCTCCACAGGCTATAGCTTCTCCACTTCTCTCTCTCTCTCTCTCTCTCTCTCTCTCTCAGCTTGGGATTGAACTGAATCTTTGTTTCGTTATACATACTTCTGTTGTAGTCCGATTGCAGTCGTGTGGCTCAGCTTTGATCCTCGGAAAGGAAAGGCCCCTCCCTCTCTCTATATGACACTCTCTTTCCCTCCCGCTCTCACTCTGTCTGTCTCTCTCTGTCTCTCTCTTTGAGTGTTTTCTTTTGTTTGCCGCTCGTCGCTCACTCAACAGCCACACAAACACTCTCTCTTGCTCCTTCTCTCTCTCTCTCTCTCTCTGTCTGTCTTTTTCTCTCACACTCTCTCTCACTCTGTCTCTTTCTCTCTTAACTCTCTCTCTCTCTCTATTTCTATATTTTGTCTCTCTCTCTCTCTCTTCGTCACACTCCACACAATTAAATAAAAAAAAAAAACAAAACAAAAAACTAACTAAAATCCAAAACCAAAACAAAATAATAATCGAATAAACTGAAAACCGAAACTAAAATAAACTTAATTGTATGCTAAACACCAACCCCAAAAAACCACACAAAAATATATAAGAATATATGCTATAATGATAATCGAAAAAAACAAACAACAACAAAAAACCCAACAACAACAATAAAATATATATACATATATATATATATATATATATCATATTATATATCAACAAAAACAAACCATCACTTTAGTATACTCGGCATGAATCTGTTCGGATGTAAATTCTGCGAGAAAGTTAACGGAGAGATGATTTGCGATCGTAAGAATTTCGACAGCCTGCTCTGGGCGCTCGTCACAGTGTTCCAGGTAGACCCATTGATATCAGCCTTATACCATATATAAACCTATAAATATATATATATCTATACTACTACTACTACTACTACTACTACTACTCCTAATGTTACGCCATAATCTGCTACTACTGATATGATTACGATTAACTGTTCATGAAACTGAAAAAGAAATGCTAAACTCTAAAAACCAAAGCGAAAGAAAATGATTTACGGAAAAGAAAGAGCATTTTGTGTTTGTTTCTTTTTACTTTGAATTTCGCTTCAGTTTCAGCGAGTAATTTGTTTTCCGATTCCGTTTCCGTTTCTGTTTCGATTTCATTTACCGTTGCGATAACCATTGATCGTAAAGCATTGTTACCGTTGTGTCTTCCTATCACTCTCTCGCTCTCTCTCTCACTCTCTCTCTCTCGCTTTGTCTTCGTCTGTCTGCTGTGTCCTTCCATGTGTGTGCGAGTGTCCCACACACAGACACACGCACACACAGGGATTTCTGCTTATTATTTTATGATTTATTATCGATACGTCGATTGGCAGAGCGATGTCGATGCCGATGTCGATGTCGATGGCGATTGCTCGCTCACAACACTAATTTGTGGTGTGTACTTGAGTGTAGTATTCAGTTGAACATGCTTTGATATTCAGTTCGTTCGATTACAATACCGATTTCGATTACGATTACCATTTCGATTAAGACTCTTGAGTTGGCATGTCAGTTAAGCGTTACCGTTACGAGTTCAATAGCAAGCAGCGCGCATCCGCATGCAGTTCGGTATCCGTATGAGTATCGGTAGATATACGAGAGCCATCTAACCATAAATATACTTTGTTGCTATGCCATACCATTACATACTATATATGTATATACTCTTTCTATCCGTATATCTATATCTATATCTGTGTATCTATGTGTCTGTATAATTGTACTTTGCACCAGGTAAGCATTACCGTTCGTTCGAGTTCGTTGTTGAGCTTTGCATGGGTTCGGTTAGCTAACCAATCAGCTATTAGAGCTGATAAATGAGTTTGCATCCCAGCATACCAGCATCCAGCCCCACCCCGACTCGACTCGACTCGAACACTTTGCATACTCCGTCGTACACCTCCGAAACACACACACGATTTGTATAACTATCTCTCTGTCTCTCTCGCTCATATGCTATCTCAATATCAATATCTATATCAATATCTTATTTGCCTTGATTGTCACCTTGTCTCTTGTTGTACTCCTCCCACTTTCGTTTGCCTTCTTTGTCACTCACATTTTGCTCTTTGTCTGTATCCTTATCCTATCTCTAAGTATGTATTCTGTATTCGTGCCTACAATATCAATCAATCTATCTATCTATAGTCCTCATCCTATTCTAGTCTCTAAGTTGTATAGAACTCAGCCCCGAACGAATCCCTCTAAAAAGAGAACTCTCCCTCTGTATCTCCCCCTCTCTCTCTCTCTCCCACTCTCTCGATACCACACACACCCCACACACACACACACACACACACACACATGAATTCGCATCGCCCCACTGTAAACTAATAAATGCCCCACTGTAACTGTGATGACACAGACCCATCCACATGCACAGAAGAGTCTCGGGACCCAAAAAAACTGTATGATAGAAAAACTCCAAAACTCTTGGCCATTCCACTCCGCCCCACACCCCCCACTTACACCACATGAATACAAGTGAATACATACATATGTGTATGTATGGGGATGCACTCTGTAAATATAAACAGACATCAGAACCAAGCCATCAGAACAGAAAACAGAAAACAGAACAGAACTCCAGGCCCAATTCCAGATAGAAGACCAAAAGTCGTCTCACACTTAGCAACTCTCTCTCTCTCTCTCTCTCTCTCCTGCTCTTTGTCTCTTGTTTAATACACCTATATACTCGTACTATAATACAATATATACGTACATACCCGAGAACAACACTCAGACCCATGTATAGAAAGGGACCCCCCTTCCCCAGCCCTATAACCATTTATCCGTATATCCGTATATACAAAATACAAACAAAAAAAAAAAATAAATAAAGCAACCAACCGATCCTCTACCACCACCTCTCTCTCTCTCTCTCTATATATCTATGAATCAATTATCATATATACATATAGTATATGCCATGCCTATATATGTATAAATGAATATCGAATAACGAACACACATCTATGACTCTATAAATATACATAAATACATACATATATATACATACATTATATATATATAAAACATATATATAAACCTACAGCATACTCGGCATGTATCTGTTTGGCGGTAAGTTTTGTAAATTTTTGGACGAATCCGGACTCGAGCGCGAGTGTACGTGTCCCGAAATAATCAGCCGGCATCCGCAATGCGAGTGCGATCGCAAACACTTCAACAACATTTTGTGGGCCACTGTCACAGTATTCCAAGTAAGAACAATAAAACAGCAATAAACTTACAGAATCCACCAGCCCCAGCCCCAGACCCCCACCACCACTCCCACTCCCACTCCCACTCCCAACCGCACCCATCCCTTGCCCAACCATACCTATTATTATTCCACTCCCCTCCCCCCCCCTCACCACTGTAAGAAAAATACAACAAACAGTTACAACAAATATCTATCTATCACCTACCTATCAAAATGAGTCTGAAATTCTTGCGATTATATAACCGTATTTAATGAATTTTTACGTATAGCCACGAAAGTTCCCAGTTCCTAGTTTCTCTCTTTCTCTCTCTCTCTCTCTGTCTCTCTCTATGTGTTTCTCTCGTTCTCTATTTGATTTCTTGATTTGTATTGATTTCTGGTGATTCCAAAGCAAAACCAACATATATATTTCCAAACTTCCACTCGCTAGTTACGTTCTTTGAGTTCGTTCTGATCTTTGAGTTCTCTTGTTCAGTTTTGAGTTTATCGATTGAAGTCTGAGTTTCGATTTCGATGCCGATTCCGATGCCCGCAAATGTAGTCACACCACGCCCACAAAACACACATGCAACATGCTCACAAAATAAAATCCTCACCTGGGTAGGACGAAAATCTTCCCATCAGTGTATAATACACCTACTTTATATTGTGTAACTCCCCCATTATCCACATACGAGTGTGTGTGCGCTGCCGCAGTGCCGCTGCACTGCTCTGCTCTGCAGAGGTACAGTCTCGTCTGCAGTCTGCATTTGGCTACAGTTGCAGCAAAGCATCCACGCAGGCGCTCTATCACATAACCTCTTTTCTTTCTCTCTCTCTCTTTTTTCTGTCTGTTCTATCTCTCCCCACACGACACACATATGACATAAGCCAAGCAAACCGTTATCGATAATGCTACCTTTTGTTGCATGCCATGCCCCTTTGGGATGCCTACTCCTTCGCCTCCGCCTCCGGCTTTCGGCTTTGATTTTGTTGTATGCAAAGCTCTCGAATCTGATTCCGATTTATAATCCAATTCAAAGTCAGATCCCTACTGGCGCTCACACACACACATACACATACCTTGTACATACATATTTCATTTCCGTTTCGTTTCGTTCCGTTCCGTTCCATTTGGTTCGTTCGTTCGTTGGTTCGTTAGCTTGTTACAAACGAAATAAAACTTTTTAATTTCTCAATTAGCTGCCCCTCCCCACCACTCCCACAACACCCCAGAATTTCGTTCTCTCTTTCTCTATCTCTCCGTCTTTATCTCTCTCTCTCTCTTTCTGTCTCTATTTCTCTCTCTGTCTCACCTAGTCGAAACATTCAAAAATTGTCGCTAAGCAAAAACCATATAAAAATCGTTATACATATATACCCACATCAATATGTTGAAAGTTGTATTTGTGCAATAACAATGTACAGCCACAAAGTTAAGAAACAAACAAAAAACCAAAAACAGAACATTAAATTAATCTTTTTTATCAACCGCATTCGTATTGTACCATATTGAAAACAAAAAAAAACAAAAAATTAACATTTAAATAGAACAGAAAAGAAAACTTTGGCACGTCGTGTACAGAGCAAAAAAAAAACGGAAAAAACCAAAAAACCAAAAATTTGAATTCTTTGAAAAATTCCTATGCAAGAATTATGTGCGCTTTTTGCCTTTGCCTTTGCCATTGCCTTTTGCTCTTTGTCCTTAGTCCGAGGAGAGCGGCCGCCCATGCTGCTGCTTCTCTTTGAGTTTTGCTATTGAATTGTATTGATTTTGCTTTTGCTTTTGCTTTTCGCTTTTGTGTTTTGGCTTTGCTCTTAGCGTTTTTTGTCTTAGTTTGTTTTTGCGTTGGTTTTTGTGTGCCTTTGTTAAGTTTTTCCTTTTAGTATGCCACACCACGAATTATTGTTTGAAGAACCGCTCTGTGCAGCCTACTTACGAATATGGGCCGCACTGTACCACTGCTGCTGCTACTGTCCAGCCAGAGAAACGAAACGCAACGCAGCGAAATGTAACGGAATGAAATGCGCCAAGTGCGTCGCTGGCACTGCTTGCGCACTCAACTGCTTTTCGCCTTTCAACTGTCCTGCGCTCTCCCTCCCTCTGTCGATCTTTCTCTGACACACTCTGCTTGCTTTTGTTTGCGTGTGCCCGTTGATTGCTGAATTACATATTAATTGATTAGTCCGAATAAAAAATAGATCGAGGGCTGTCCGCAACAGTTCCTATATTAGTGATATTCCTGTAAATGTTTCTGATTGTGTTCAACAAAATAATATTCGTATTCCTCTGCTGAGAGGAGACTTGCTAACGAAACTGGGAATAAAGGTTTTAAAAATATATTATTATACATATGTTAAATGTAAATACGCATACAAAACGTAAGCAAAGAACAGAGTCGAACGGTAGAAGATTCAGTTGAACAGCGGATTAAATCTAGAACTCTTACAGCAATAATTGATTGATCGATTAATCGATTGATCGATTTCACGATTAACGAACGCATAGCAAACAAAAGCTGCGAGATATGCGAGCATACATACATACATATGTAGATACATATGTCTGTACACATGGCTGTGTGTATGGGAAGTACTCGCAAAAGTATGCCACATATTTATATCCATCCAATTAACAGGTTCTATATAATATATATGTATTTCAGTCGCTGTCGCTCTCGCTCTCGCCATCTTTGTCTCTGTCGCTCTCTTTCTTTGCTCTCTCTCTGCTCTCACTCGCTCTCCCACTCTCCCACTCTCCCACTCTCCCACTCTCTCTCTCTCTCTCACTGTACCTGTCTGTCTCTGCCTTTGTCTCTGCCTTTGTCTTTGTCTGACATTTAACATTCGTTTGGCATTCGTTTTATATATTACGTTTCTAATTACTTACTTACTTACTTACTTACGTACCACCCACCGCAACAAATAAAACTACAAAATTTGTTTATTGGTATTTCGTTCTTTTTTTCTTTGGCTTCTTTCGATTAATTATCGATACATGTATATCCGACATATGTATGCCTACATATATGTGATATCCAAATGCGTATGTATGTTATATCTGCACCACGTTTGCTGCCCCGCCACTGCAACTGCAACTGCAACCGATCAACCGATCAACAACAACAACAACAATTCCAACTCCAACAACAATCTCCAACAACAATCAACTGAACTCAACAACAACTACAACAACAACAACAACAACAATCACCAACAACCAACCAAATGTTTTTAGATACTCACGCAAGAGGACTGGAACGTCGTCCTGTTCAATGGAATGGAAAAGACAAGTCATTGGGCCGCACTGTACTTTGTGGCCCTAATGACATTCGGCAATTATGTGCTATTTAATTTATTGGTGGCCATTTTGGTTGAGGGATTCAGTTCAGAGGTAGAGTTTTGCCAACAAAAACAGATCCCCCCCCCCTCCCTGCCACGCCTTACCCCTCATCGCCCACCCACAAGCCAATCTATGATCTATGAATCTATGGTCTGCAGACCACTATCCGAACGATAGACCTGACATAAATGCATATTCAATGATTATTTCTATATGTTCAGCATATATATATATTAATATAATGTACATACATGGATGCTAAGGCTGATTATTTGGATAAATCAATTAATTTAAATACCTAAAATCACCACGAAGAATCATGCTCATCATATTTGTAGACTTTTAAGCTCTGATAAGCCAATCCATTTGATCTTTCGATCAGCGAATGCATTTCCTGGCGATCCATAAACCCGATTCACTGCGATTAACTTCCTATGCCGCTCCGAGCACTATTTGAGGCACCAGCAGTGTCCATCACCCACAGCCTTGTCCCCACAGCAGCCTTGTCCACCGCCCCCCCCATTCCAGCGCAATTCCAAGCACCCAAGAAGCAGCGTGAGGCAAAACGCTTGTGGCGCGTCGACCAGCTAAAAACAGAAAAAAAGAAATCCCCAATCCTGGCTCCATGCTCCATGCTCCACGCCCCAAAGGTTGACGAGAAAGTCTAATTTTGAAATTTTGATTCCCTCAGCGAAATGAACGTCGCGAGCGCGAACAGCGCGAGTTGGTTAAGAAACTGCGCGAAGAGACATTGGCCGAGAATTATAGCGATGGTATGTACGATGAATCGCGCAGCGAGGCCGATTCATCGACCACTAACGATAGTTACTACGAGGTACGCAATCGCTGGCGCTCAGCGGAGGACGTGCGCAAGGTAAGTCATCCCATCCATCCATCCGGAAGAGAGCGGAAGTGCCCCACAGTGGACACAGATCCGGTGCGTGTATGTGTGCCAGTGTGCCAGTGTGCCTGTGTGCCTGCATGTGTCTCGATGCATGTGTGTGTGTGCCTGAGTCTGAATGATTGTGTGCGTGTGTGTGGGTAACACAGCACCGGTTCTATCCACGGTTCGTCCTCCTACTCCCACCAACAGCTGCAGGACTCGGCCGAGCTGATCAACGAGGCCAAGAGCAACATGCACCGCCAGCGGCTGCTCCAGCCCAGCCACGATTACCAGATCAACGAGCTGCCAACGCCGACTGCTGCATCCGCCACTGCTGCTTCCGGCCTGGACAACAAGGAGGCTGGCGGCAGCAGCATCCACAAGCTGATGTCGCATGAGGAGAGCAGCGGCAGCAGCAAGCCCCGAGGCGGCCTCAAAAAGGTAAGTGAAGCAACGACAGACGGACCACGAACTGGACCCGAATTGGATCCGAACTGGACCCGAACTGGACCCCCAACTGACACTGAACCATCCACACGCACATCACATGCCCACTGACGCGTTTCGCACACAGACATACTCCATCAAGGACAGACGCAGCGAGGCGTCGCGCCTCTCCAAGATGCGGCTCGTTCGGGAGCCGCCCATCATCACCACGACGGCGGCCACGCCGCAGGACTCGCCCAGCACCACCCTGGAGCCGGGCATGAGCTTCCGCCAGTGGGGCGACATGGAGGTGAGTGCCGCCCGCTCCTTCTCTCGCCCCTCGAATTCGCACTCAACTCTACTGCCTCGCCCGCAGCCGCCGCCTCCACCTTCGCCGTCGCTGCTGCGACCCCCCAACATCTTCACGGGGGGCCAGCGCACCCTGGACGAGGGCATACCCGCCATCGACCTCATTCCGCCCTCCCCGGTGCTCACCCACAAGCCCCTCAATATCCTCAACGCCAGCCAGCTGGGCTTGGGCGTGGGCGGAACCGGGGGAGTGGCTTTTGCAGGGGGGGCAGGGAGCATAGGGAGCACTGGGAGCAGCATGCACAGCGTCATCATCGATGACATATCGAAGAGTTCCGGCTCAGCGGCAGCCGCCACGCCCATCTACGTGCCCACCATCTCCTCCGCGTCGACAGTGGGGGCGGGCGGAATGGGTCTGGGACATGAGCAGGGTCTGCAGCCGCCGGCTGCGGAGAGCCACAGCTACAGTCACAGTCTGAATGATCTGACGGGCTCGGGCTCGGGCTCGGGCACGGGCACGGGCTCGGCCACTGGACCTGCATCCAGTGCCGCGGCCTCGACCAGCGGCAGTTCTTCCAGCGAGCGCCTGCCCCTGGCTCCCGCCCCGTACAGCGGCGCTGGCGGGGGCAGCTTCAAGCAGCGTTTCCGGCGCAGCAGCTCCAAGAAGAGGAGACCCCAGCCGACGGCCGCAGCCGAGGACAGCATCAGTGGCCATGAGGAGGAGGAGCAGCTGCAGCAGCAGCAGCTGAACAACGGCAGCGACAACAGCCACCTACTGAGGAGCAGCGCAGGAGGCGGAGGCGGAGGAGGGGGTGGACTGGGAGGTGGAAGCACAGGAGGCACAGCTGCCAAGGACACCAACCGGCTGAGTCCGCAGAACTCGATCCGCAGACTCTCAAACACGCTGAGCATCGGCAGTGCTGGCAGTCCGGGAGCGGCGCTGGGCAGTCGCCGGGCCTCGGCCTGCATCTTCAACTCGCAGGTGTACCAGAACCTGAACCAGCCGCCGAAGCTGCGCCCGGGCACGGGCCAGCGGCGGATGAGCTCCATCGAGCTGGCCTTCAGCAAGACCTCGCACCTGAATCTGCACAACCTGGAGGCGAACCGCAAGTCGCTGTCCTACACGAACTCCAAGATGGACCTCGACAAGTGGCAGAGGTCGTACGGCAATCTCAACGAGCCGGACAACATGCTGCAGCAGTACATTGAGGCGCGGGACAAGCGCAAGACCTCCATCAGTCACTACAACCTGAAGAAGCGGCTCGAGGAGAAGGAGATCCAACAGCTGCAGCAGCTCCACCAGCAGCAGCTGCTCCTCCAGCAGCAGCAGCAGCAGCAGCAGCAGCAGGACTCCTCGTCCTCCTCCCAGCAGCCGCACTCCCAGTCGCTGTCGCAGTCGCATCGCCTCTCCAAGGAGTTTCAGCATCTGGCCCTGCAGCCACATTCCATGGTGTCCTCCAGTGGCGATCGCATGTCCAAGCTGAAGATGATCATCGAGCGGCTCACACCCAGGCAGTTCGCCATGGAGCGTGAGTCCTACTCGATGTACGTCTTTCCCGAGGATAACAAGTGAGTGACCCCCCTCCCTGCCCCCTTCGATCCTTATTCTCTGATTAATAACCAAAATATTAATCCGCCACATGCAGGTTTCGGCAGGTCTGTACGTGGTTTGTCAATCAGAAGTGGTTCGACAATGTTGTGCTGCTGTTCATCGCACTCAACTGCATCACACTGGCGATGGAAAGACCAAACATCCCTCCAACCAGCACCGAAAGATTGTTCCTGGCAACAGCCAATTACGTGTTCACCGCCGTCTTTACCGTTGAGATGTTCATAAAGGTAGGCTTATCCCAGTATAACAGTATGCCAGTATGCCAGTATCCCAGTATCCCAGTATTCGATATCTGATATCTGATCTGACAACGTTTACAGGTAGTCGCCACGGGCATGTTCTACGGCACGGATGCGTACTTCACATCCGGCTGGAATATCATGGACGGATCTTTGGTTACCATTTCCATAATTGATTTGTTAATGTCATTGATTAGCGAATCGAGCCCGAGGATATTTGGGATTTTAAGGGTAAGTAGGGGGTCCCCGGGTTAATTAGCCATCCGGCAGCAGTCACAGTCGCAGTTGCAGTCGCAGTCGCAGGCCCTCAGCATCATCGACAGATCAGCAACAAGAACTGCTTGAATGCATCCTAATGCGATTCCAATGACTGCGCTATAACCAACAGCAACCACCACCAACAACAACAACAACAACAACAGCCAAGAACAAGCAGTGCAATCGCATCGACCATCGCAGAAAAAAGCTTTAGCTCTCTCGAGCAAAAATCTCGCAAGCTCAAAGCTCAAAGATCGCTCGTTCGCTCGTTCGCTCGCTCGCTCGCTCCTTGCTCGATGCTATGCTCTATCTATCTATCTATCTATCTATCAATATCTATCTGCTGATTGGCAATCTCTCTCTATCTCCACATACTATCAGACACACACACACACAAACAGAACACATACTCGAACACTCTCCAACACTGTCAGACACGATTGAACACGATTGAACGAACAACTTCTTCTTCTTCTTCCTGCAAACTTTTTCACAATTTTTGTTCAATTTTGTTGTGTACATATGTACTTCGTATAACTCGTATTATGTGTGTGGTGAATATCGGGTATATTCTATATCTAACTGTATCTTATGTATATATGTACATACCTCTCGGTCTACCGTACCTCTCTCTCTCTCTCTCTCTCTCTCTCTCGAAACCGCAGGTAAATTCCCCCATTCTGCTACTATTGAGTTACTGAGCAAAATAAATCCAATCCAATCCAATCCAATTGCTTTCACCATTTGTTACTACTCGTAAACTCGTATGTGTGTGTAGTCCCGAACCGAAATCCAATTCCAAAGTCTCTAAATATTGTTTACTACTACTCCAACTCCAAACCCAAATCCAGTAAATTTTTGGCTCGCCTCCATTGAGTTCTTGTATATTGTATATAATTCGACCGATTCGGTTAATTAACCCGAACAAAACAAAACCTAACAAAACGAAATAAAACAAAAATTTCACACCACCACCACCCCCCACTCCGCAAAAGAATTTTAATGTATTGAGATTGAACCCATTACGTTCCATATTTAATCAGTATATTCCACTTAGAGTTACGTACGTACACATACATACATATGTGTGTGTTCTAATAATTCCAATCCATAATTCCATTTAGATATATACAACTGTGTTCGGAACCAAAAGAAATAAGATTGTTTTTTTTTTTTTGCTTAATAAAGGAAACATTTAATTTTCGAATCATTTAAAATTTAGCAATATATTTCAAAAATCCATTTGAAAATTCAATTTTAATCCACGTAATACAGAAAAATATGCATAAAAGAAATGTACAGATTAAGGAGAGTCTGGCTACCGATATTGTTAGTTATTTCTTAACATCGATGAAAATGAGTAGAGTTTCCCCACAAGCAATCACTTTTATTCCGAGCACAGCTACATATACATATGTAGGCATATAGATCCATAGCTAGAGCCCCCATCCGGCCCGAATCCCCCTCCGACCATCCACCATACACCATCCACCATTTTGGCCTTGCTTTAATGTCCCACACTTACACGTTTGTTGTGCGCTTTATTTGCGTTCAATTTAATTCCATTTGATTCCATTTAATTTCATTTGATTCCATTTAATTCAATTCAATTCCATAAAAGGTGGCGCCGCCTGGCGTCGCATTCGACAGAGTGATATCAAGCAGTGCGCAGTGCAAGCAGTGCATATTACTTATCAAATATTTATTCAACATATCTTTACTCTCTCTCTCTTTCTTTCTCTCTCTCTCTCTCTCTCTCTCTCCTGCTCGCTCTCTCTCTCTCTGTGTCTGTGAATGATTCTCGTTGGCAGGTGTTTCGGCTACTTCGTTCCCTGCGGCCTCTGCGGGTGATCAACCGTGCCCCGGGTCTGAAACTAGTCGTGCAAACGCTCTTATCGTCCCTGCGTCCCATCGGCAACATCGTGCTGATCTGCTGCACCTTCTTCATCATCTTCGGGATACTGGGCGTGCAGCTATTCAAGGGCACCTTCTTCTACTGCGAGGGCGAGAACATCAAGAATGTGCGCAACGCGGACGAGTGCCGCCGCATTCCGGGCAACGTGTGGACGAACCGCAAATACAACTTCGACGACCTGGGCAAGGCCCTGATGTCCCTCTTCGTGCTGAGCTCCCGCGACGGGTGGGTGAACATCATGTATACGGGCCTCGATGCCGTCGGCGTCGACCAGCAGCCGATCGTGAACTACAACGAGTGGCGGCTGCTGTACTTCATTGCGTTCATCCTGCTGGTGGGCTTCTTCGTGCTCAACATGTTCGTGGGCGTTGTGGTGGAGAACTTTCATCGGTGTCGCGAGGAGCAGGAGAAGGAGGAGAAGATCCGGCGGGCGGCCAAGCGAGCGCTGCAGATGGAGAAGAAGCGCCGCCGGATGCACGAGCCGCCCTACTACACCAACTACTCGCCCACCCGCATGTTCGTCCACAACGTGGTCACCTCCAAGTACTTCGATCTGGCCATCGCCGCCGTCATCGGGCTGAATGTGGTCACCATGGCCATGGAGTACTACCGCATGAAAATGGCCCTGCAGTATGCCCTGAAGATCTTCAACTACTTCTTCACCGCCGTCTTCATACTGGAGGCGCACATGAAGCTGGTGGCCCTCGGCTGGAAGCTGTACCTCAAGGATCGCTGGAACCAGCTGGACGTGGGCATCGTTCTGCTCTCGATCGTGGGCATTGTGCTCGAGGAGCTGGAGACGAAGATAATACCCATCAATCCGACGATCATACGGGTGATGCGCGTCCTGCGCATCGCGCGCGTCCTTAAGCTGCTGAAAATGGCAAAGGGGATCAGGGCCCTGCTGGACACCGTGATGCAGGCCCTGCCACAGGTGGGCAACCTGGGACTGCTCTTCTTCCTGCTGTTCTTCATCTTCGCGGCGCTGGGCGTGGAGCTGTTCGGGCGCCTCGAGTGCTCCGACGAGATACCCTGCCAGGGCCTGGGCGAGCACGCGCACTTCGCCAACTTTGGCATGGCTTTCCTCACATTGTTTCGCGTAGCGACTGGCGACAATTGGAACGGCATCATGAAGGACACGCTGAGGGATAATTGCGATGACGCGGCCGATTGCGTACGCAATTGCTGCGTCAGCTCGGTTATTGCTCCCATATTCTTTGTGATATTCGTGCTAATGGCGCAATTCGTTTTGGTGAATGTCGTCGTGGCTGTACTGATGAAACACCTCGAGGAGAGCCACAAGCAAATGGAAGACGAGCTCGACATGGAGGTGGAGCTCGAGCGCGAGCTGGTGCGCGAGCAGGAGTTCGCCCAGGAGCAGAAGCTGTGCCAGCAGCTGGCGGAGGCGCAGGCCAAGGCGGCCGCTCCCCCACGCCCCCTCGCCAAGGTCAAGTCGCTGCCCAAGAACTTCATCTACAGCACCCCCTCGCTGGACAAGAAGTTCCCCAGCCCCCAGTCCCTCACCAGCAGCGCGGCCAACAATCTCAACCAGCTGCAGCAGCAGAATCCATCCACTTCGACATCCACATCCCCGGGACTGGGCGGACTGTCGCAGAGGGGCGTGGCAGCCGGACCGGGAGCGGGAGCGGGCGGACGCCGCCAGACCGTACAGTACTTCAATCAGCCACAGAGCGGCTGCCCTGGACCGGGCCTGGGCCTTGGCCTTGGCCTGGGCCTGAGCCTGGCCGAGATGGGCGGCACGCTGACGCCTCAGGCGCTGGGCGCGCGGCTGGGCGAACCCTTTGGCGGCGCCTCCACAGCGACGGCAGCGGGAGGCACTTGTGCCGGCCCCGGCTTTGGCCAGGAGCCGGGCAACCTCCAGCTGCCGCCGCTGGGACGCCGCGGGCGACGCGCCTCGGCCGCCGCCGGCTTCCGCAAGCGCGGCGTGCTGTCCAAGGAGCGCTCGCTGGACGAGCAGGCCATTCGACGACGCAATCTGGAGGCCAAGCGCACCAGCTGCGACTCGCTGCCCTGGGGCGGCGATGCCCTCGACTACAGGCGCGGCACCATCTTCGAGAGCCTCGAGTCGGATGGCGGGGGCGGCGGACTGGGCTCAGGATCGGGATCGGGCTCGGGCTCCGGAGGATCACCACTCGGCTTTGATATTCGCAGCGTGCGCAGTGCGGATGTGCCGCACCTGGAGCCGGACACCGATGCTCTGGCCGTGGTCAGTGCCATGGTGCCCGCCGCCACGCCCATGCCCCTGTCCATGCCGCTAGCCCTGCCCTTGCCCATGCCCACGCCCACACCCACACCCTCATCCGCACCCACCAGGATGTCGTCGGGACATCATCCGCCACCTCGGCGCCCCTACGGCTGGTCGCAGTCCGTCGATCAGGGCTGCCTTCTGGGGGCGCCCGGTCGCAGCAGCCTCCTCCTGTCCGTGCCGCGCTCGATGCCGCCACGAAGCCGCAGCGGCAGCACCAAGCAGCTCTTCAAGCAGCAGGCCCTCGACGAGGATGCCGACATGGACGAGAGCTCGCTGCTGCTGCCAGCCCGAGCCGCTAGCGGTGGCGGAGGGAGGAGGAGTCAGCGGGGGAGTTGTTGGAGTCCCCACCATCGCCGCTGCCCTGGAGAGCGTGTCTGCCGCCAGTGCTGTGGACTCCCCCGTGCTAACGGGCAAGTCCGACTCGGCAGACATCTTGCGGATTATCAGCGAGCGGCGGCGGATGGATCAGCATGACCAGCGGGATCCCAGAGACGATGCCGAGGACAGGGACAGCGACTACAACGAGCTGTTGCTGGTCAAGTCGCCACAGTCCTCGATGGATTAGGCATGCAGCTCATTGCATGTCTCACACTCTCCACTCTCTCTCTCTCTCCCTGTGTCTTTCTCTCTCTCCAAGTATACATAGATCCCTGTCCCTGTCCCTGTCCCTGACCCTGACCCTGTCTGTCGCCCATACTTTGTATACCAGTCTCTGTATAACCCAGTAAAACACACACAAAAAAAAAACTAAAATAAAAGCCTTTAGGGAATTTCCTAAGTGCTCAGTTTTAGATCTTGAAAACTACTAAACTAAAACTAAAATCGATAGGCAATAGGCAATAGCGATAACAATAAAGATAAATGAAAATTATTAATCGATAGCAATAACTATTAACGATAAACGATAAACGATAACTAACGATAACTCTTAGAGCGTTCGTTATCCAACGCAAGAAACAAAAAACAAAAACAAACAAACAAAAAAAAAATTGAGATACAAAACAAAAATTGTCAACTGTTTTTAGTGCAATCCTACGGTTTTCATAACTTTAAAAAAAAAAAAAAAAACCCATCCCAATGGTATCAGAACCTATATATTAGAAGAGAAGGTCTTAAATGAAACAGAAACCAGAAGAAAACCCGAAATAAGAAAAAAGAAAAAATAAACTAAAAAGAAAAAAAAGAAAAGAAAAGAAAAACTACGTTTAATGTTGATTAGAGCGTTTTCCGTTTCAAGCTGTAGTCGAGAAGAGGTCTAAACCAAGAGCTGACGAATTATATACAAGCGTTATATGCGATTTACATATATACTATATACTATATACAGTTATATATACATATACTTATAGGGGTACTGCATACATGATGGAAATTTGTGAACAAAAGATCATCAACTCTGTGATTAGCTCTTAAAGTTTAAACATTTATAGGATGAAGGCGGCGGCGCCTTGATGAATACACTCAAACTCACACTCACATTCACATTCACCACTAAACACGTACGATGTCTGTATATAGTAAGAATGTATGTGTGTATTTTACTTAGTCTAGAAAGGGAAAACTAACCAAACAGAAAAAAGAAAAAGAAAACAGCCCACACACAAGACCTCACTCACAACGCTGACAAGACCTACGAAGTACACACAGCTGAAGAGCCAAGCACCTTGATAAGCAATTGCACATTGTATTCGTACGAGTAGCTAATAAGATCGTACCCCACATAAAAACCAACCAAGAAGAAGCAAAAAAACAAAAGAAATAGGAATATTTATATGTACTGCGTTGATGTGCTGCACTTGATTTGCTGCTAAGGAAGACGGGAAAAATCTTTGTGCAAACGAATTTACTTAGGTACTTAGACATACACAGGACACACCCAGAAAACTAAACAAACATTCAATAGATGGACACAGCCGCATGCACTCCAATACAAGTAGCCATAGCATCTGGTCGGACGACAATCTCTCGCACTATCTCTGTACTCTATGAACTATGAACTTTTCCATAGGACCGCCCCACAGACACCAGACACCACCCCAAAGCAAAAACAGTGCCAAGGCCAGCGCAATAAGGGTATTCATGTTTAGTAAAAAACATGAGAGATTTGTTTTTTTTTTTTAACGATAGTATCCCAAAAGTAATAAACAATGGCAGCAACTACAAACAAATGAAGCAGAAGAACTTTAAAGTCTAGCATTTATAAACAAAACAACACACAAAAAAGAAAAGAGAAAAAATTAGTAGAAATTTAATGATTAATGTTTAATGACTATATATAGTGTATATATGGAACTATCAACGAATTACAATAGAGTATCAAGATATTTCTAGGCACTTGATCGTATCGAGCGACAGGGGAAGAGGACGAACAGCTGATGTGCTGAACAGCAGAAGAAGAAGATGGAAATGAAGTGAAGAGAAGAGAAGAAGATGTAGACAAGGAACACTAACTTAACACTGTCAATTTTTCAACATGATCTAAGCTAATTTTTCAAAGAAAACAAAAAGCAACAAAACCAAAACCAAAACAAATTTTACACTCTTTGTACACACTGTAAAAAAAAGTGAGAGAAACGAAGGAGCTACCCAGTTTAGATAAACTTTAAACAAAGAACTTACAAAATCAAACTTAGCAAACGATTTGGGCGAAAGCCATGACGACGACGAAGAAGAAGCAACAAATTTAATTAATAATAATTTCATCTGTGCCTTTCTCTACCAAAATATATATATATATGTATATAAATATATATTTACATTTATACATCTATATATACAAATTTATCTATCAGATACTAGAACTCTTCTAGATTCTCTCCAGCTCTCCCTTCTCCTACTCCCTATTCTGTCTAACACACACACAACACACACACACACAGAGAACTAACCTCAACTCATCACAGACACAGTCAAGCCGAGGGACGAAGAATGATGAATGATGAACGATGAACGTCATAGGACGTAAGCAGTGCGTTATTTAGGGCAAGCCAAGCAGGAGTCAGAACGAAACGTCATAGGAGTGGGACATGGGCGGCACCAAGCAGTACTAAGCAGTGCAGTGCAGTGCAGGCCAAGCAACGCTGACAAAACTATTTACGAAGCAAAACGAATGAATAATAAAATAATTACTTAAGCCTACTAAAAACCAAGAAACCAAGAAAAAAGGAAAACGCAAAACGAAAAACGAAAAAGATAATGAAATTGAAATTGAATATGAAAAAGGAAACGCATACATAAAAATACCAATAAAATTATAAGCAAATGCAAACATAAAGTTTATAGGTTAATGCGCTAGTAGTTTTGAACCGTTTTTTTTTTGTAATTTTTTTTTTATTGTAGCTGCTTGAAGTAAACTGAAATCAAATGAAACTGTATTCAACTGTTTTCGGTTTTTCGTTGAGTGTGTTCCCTCTTTTCCCTCTGTTTGTTTGTTTGATGAGGAGAGCAAGGCGACTACACTACTCGCATAAAGAGCGTTTTTTCTTGTTGATTAATAATTAGGTAAAAATGCTACAAAACATAAGTTAATTAAAGCAAAGCAAAGCAAGCGACAAGCGGCAAGCAAAAGCGAAAATCCAAAAACCAAAAAAAACCTAAATCCAAATTAGACAAAGTTGCAGACGAAGCAAATTAAATTTAAAATTATAGCCATAACGGTTAACGAAATGCAAAACTAAGTAAATTTGCTTTTAGCCCCATGCAGGTACAAAGGTACAACAAGAAACACACACAGACAAAACCCCCCCAAAACAGACAAAACCAAAACCAAAACCAAAACAAAAGAAAAGGAAACCCAAGAGGCAAAACCAAAAGCAAAACATATTTGAAGTGCATGTAATTGTTTATGTGTGTGTGCCACTGTCACTGTCAGGCGAAATAAACCAAAGGAAATTTGGGCACTACTCGTATACCCATTTACCCATTGCTGTAACCACTAAAACTAACACAAAAAAAACTGTTAAGAACAATAGCCATAGCCGTGTTTAATCATTTCGTTGCGTGCAATTGCGTATAATTTAACGACTCGATTGGTTCCACTCACAATATATGCGTACTATATGCATACATACTGAGAACGCATCTGTCAAATCAGCAACAATGCTAGAGAAAAAGCGAAAAGCAAAACCACACAAAAAACGAGCATTATAAATTAAAGAGAATTTGAAAAGAAGCAACAAATTTTGTATCACTAATACCACTGTATGGGCTAATATGGGAAAAAAGATTGATTCCCCAATCAAGTGGATCTGGATCTGGGCTGTTCTACTGACAGGTGTACTTACTCTTTTGAGTTCCCCATCTTTGCGATTGCCCAGCCCAATTTGTTCACCGATCAGCTATCATATGGTTTCCTCTCGTCCGATTTGCACTATGGTAAGTTTACTACTTTTATGAAATATTTAATTTCGGGAATATTTTATGGCATTTTGTACATAGCTATGAATGGCTTAAGCAATCGCTGTTTATGGGGCATCAATGGGGGTATATGTAATTACAATTGCATGTACACATTTAAATACATACATAAATTTATAATCGTTTTCGGTGAGCAAAAAACCTACTGGATTTCAGATGAAACCATTATGCAACTACAAATCCGAGAATGGATATTAGCGGACCGAGAACTCAAGCTATCAAATGATCTGCATGGTGGTTCATGCAGAAGGAATTACATGACAGAAAACTCGAATCGTATTTTTGATAAGTATTTTTTAACATTTCATGTGATTGGGGTGCGTGGAGCGTTTCTCCAAGCGTGTCACGGGGGGAAACCGCGACCACGGTTGGAGGCTCATTCCTAACATATTTATTTATTATGTGATATGTACGATTGTGCTCGTAACAACATGCACTTGCAGCTCGGGCATTCCAAAACAGCCCCATACCCATACCCAGCCCCAAACCGAACCCAGCCCCAGCCCCAGCCACAGCCCTTGTCCCAGACTCCGCACGCATTATCGTGGCACAGTTTACCGCCGCGGAGAATGACGTGGGGCGTCGTCTCCAGGTCTTCACTGCCCCACCTGCCCCCAGTCCATGCCTGTTTTGGGCCGGGGCATTAATAATGGGTAAGTGACATTGCAGTTTTTGTGTCGCAGTCTCTCACGCGGTTTTGTTTGTATTTTGCGCTTTGTCTTATTGTCAATTTTCTCTTCATTGCATAACGATGGCTGTGCCCCCCAACAGCCGTACCGCCCCATTGCCCGCTCTCGCTCTCCCTTCGGTGTCGGTGAAGTTCGCGCGGCCATAAAACACAGAGCCGCTAGAGTTAAGTGAAAATATTTTGGCGCCGCTGTTGTAACAGACCCGCCAGCGGGCCTGGCCTGCTCTTTTTCGCTCTCTCTCTCTCTCTCTCTCTTTTGCTGTAAAGCACTGAAAGAAAAACGCTTCGAAATCCAAATTTGCGTGCCGGAAATACTCAAAAATTCATGATCAGTGTCACTTTACGGATATATGAATGTATGTATGTATATTTACATGTACGATATTTAAATATATCCATTTCTACATTTCTATTTGAATATTTTCCGGCAGTGTAGCTGTAGCTAACGCTGCACTCCACTCTCTTTTGCACTCACCAGAGCCATTCAATCCCTCTTGCCTCTCGCTCACGCAATCTGCGCTCATTTGCCCGTGCGTTTGGTTTGGTTTGCGTTTTTAATTAGCGGTAGTTTCTTCTATTGCCTCACGAGAGATTGCAAATGAAGTAATTATCAAAGAAACAAAACAAAAAATGAGGGAAAAAATAGGAAGATGGGGAAAGAAACCCAGACATGAAAGAGTTACGACCAACATTCGGTTCAATTTCATCCGTTCATCCATCCATCCACTCGACCATCCCGCTCTGCCTAGCGCTCTCTCTCGCACTCGCACTCGCACTCACACTCACATTCGCTCTCTCTCTCTCTTTCCAAACTGCTGTCCGTTTTTCCCTGCCAAGAAATGCGTTCATGGTCAAAGTGTCAAACGTGACGCAACCGCAACAATAACATATTTGGAGGGGCCAAGCAATCAAAACGAAAACAAAAACAAAAACAAAAACACAGTTGCTGCTGCTGCTGCTGTTGCTGTTGAAAACAACAAAAGCCAATGTGAAAATGTGCAACTATTTGGTCGAATGATTTTTGAGTGCCAAACTGCCCAACGCACTCGAAAAAAGAAGAGAATCATTTAATGAGCATACCAACATATTGAAGTATGTATGTACATACATACATATGTATGTATGTATGTTCCTAGGCGATCGGAGGCAATCTCTACGAAAGAGTTATTATATAAGATCGCCCATCGCCCAGATGGGGATCCTGTCCCACGAAGATCGAGTAATCGGGTTGCACCAGAAAGTTGATCCCTGGGGCATAAGTGGGTGAAATAATTTTAACTAATGTGTGGATAAATACATAAAGTGCAATACAATACAATAGATCAACATTTCACACCCAACTTCATTAATTTGTATGCTTTGTAAATCTTTTTTAAATTGTGTTTAAATCTTTTTGTTTTTTCTTGGCTACAAATTTCAACGCTCTCTCATTGGTTGTAGTCAGAAGAGGTGGACAGATCAAATGGGGTGAGCATTGAATTTGTATTGAAATTTCTATCAGAAATGTTGCTATCAATTGCCAAAGACTTGTGGCTTTGGCTGGGCCTCCTCTGATTGATGTCTGGGCACTCAGCATTGCGGGTCAATTCCAGTTATCGATTAGCTAATTGATAACTAGACATAATCGTTATTAATCGTCGTCGGAGCCCCCCCAACCAAAGTGATGGAAATTTGTACGTATTTCAATTTTGTTTGGTGGCACGTTATTATTTATATTTATTCACTGTTAACCGAATGGCTGTTGCAGCTTTTGGGGCTGCTGGCGGCTGTTGGCGGCGGTGCTGCTTTGCTTACGAGTATTTCTTGACACTTTCACTTTTCTCATTAAGATATGAGCTCGACCTGGCCCGTTTAGGGCAGGGGCAAGAGCGCGACAGGTTTTCGCTGACAGAGACCATACAGACCTTACGTATACCGAACGACCCGACAGACCGGACAGGGCCCACACCCCTCCTTCCGTCCCCTGACTGGGGCCTAACCTTAAAACTTAAAAATCGGTGTGATTTCATTTGCATGTTCATTCATCTTCATTCCCATTGCCCTCTCTCTCCCTCTCACCTGCCTTACCTGCCTCACCTGCCGCACTCGCATCAGTCTCCTCAGTCTGCTCAGTCTCCTCTGTCTCTGCGTTTGTCGTGACTCTCCATCTGTTTTGCTGACACACCGATACATAAGCCCTTCCCTTGCCCGACACCTTTCGATTCTTTTTGCTGCCTGCAGAATGTACTCCAATACGGGAGCTGCCGAAAACTGATAGCCATATAAAACCTCCAGGGAAAAATAGCCCTCCAAACGGAATTCCGTATACAAATCCTCGACCTCATCTATGAGCTTGGAACCGAAAATCAATTACCACAAATGTTATCAAAATCGTATTGAAATTATTCGAAATTACAGCCCTGTCTGTGGGGCAGCTCCAATTCCCTGCTGAGTGATTTTCAACTTTGGAGTTTATTGAACGAAGAAGAGCTGTCACTGTCGCAGTCGCAGTCACTGTCGCCGTCACTGTCTGTGCAGTCACTTCTGAATGCAGTTACTTGGGTGCTTTGTTTTTTTGGGTAGCCCGGAAACCAGTTTACTGTTTTGAAGATCTTCTGCTGTTACTTCGCCCTCTTTTGGTTGCACTTCTTAGCTATGCATTTATCTTCTTCTCCTGCATCTCTCACTCTCTCTCCCTCTCTTTAAGTCTTCTTCCTCAGCAGGCAGACCTTAAGTTCAGGCTGAATTTCATGTTTCTTTTTGCCTCAGGCATTCATTATTCATTCGATTCCACTTCCAATTCCAAAGGCTGTTAACATTTAATTTTTTGGCAACATTTTCTTCTTCTTCTTCTGCTTACCCTTCTACCCTTTCCTCTCCCTCGTCACCCCCTCTGCACCTCTTCACCTTTCCCTTTTACTTCTTCTGCTTCAGCTGCTGCTGCTGCTGCACCAAGAACTGGTTTCCATTTTGTAAATACGAATGCAGGCCTAACGGTAGCTGCAGCCATTGATTAGGCCCCCCCCCCCCCCTCCCGCTTTCTGGCTACTGCTGTCTTGTCTGGACCGTCCAGCGTGGAGCGTGGCCCGTTCCCAACTTTTTATTTGGAAAATTGTGGATAAAAAATTGAAAAGCCATGGCACGAGACATTTGACGTTTTCATGGATTGCGCAATTGTGTTTCTTTTCGATGGGTAGACCGGGCAGAGAGCCAGAGGGAGTGGGAGAGCCAGCCACTTGTTGCAGCTTAAAAAGAGGCCAGAGAGAGAGCGAGAGAGTGATGGCAGGGGCAGCAGCGGAGGGAGGCTGTGGCTGCGGCTGCGGCTGCGCCAGGTGCAAGTGTCTCTGACTGTATCTGTTCGAGTATCTGTTTGTAAAACGGGTCACCAATATCGCAACAGCAACAACAATTGTTCCATCTTGTGGTCTTGCGACATTTCTCGGCATTCCTCCATTCCTGTCGTTTCGACTGGAAATTGGAATGGACCGGGATTTATGTATGCAGCTTTGCGTGCACACTGAGGAAAAATAGGTCAGTATATTTGAAAATTGCCAATTCAATCTGGTGATATTTGCTTTTATTTCCAATTTGTATCTCTTTTTTCATCTGTGATAGAGTGACTGTCCGGACAATTAGAGTTCCCATGGGAATGAACGACTTGCAAGGGTAGCAGAGCTTCGATACCCGGAACTACAGGTAGCCCTTCTTCCCTTCTTGTTGCCAATTCCTTTATTAACTGCCATTTACTCAATATTAATTATGCACGTATTCTTGTGTGATCCACAAGGCACTCACTTATTCACTCCACTTACATACAAACATATGTACTTGTATTGTGAGTGCACTCATTTGACCCACTTCGAAGGCATTTGGCTGTCCATCCATCCATCCATCCATCCACTCGTCGATTGCATCCATCCCGTTTTTGCCCATATTCAAATATCAATGGCTAATTTCATTTTTGCGGCCACTTTTGCAACACTCACACACTCACATGCACACATGCACGTGCAAGTTACATACATAAACACAACGCGATTACAACATAGCCGATGACGCAGGGCTTTTGCTTTTCGTACGAGCTGCTCTCTCTCTCTCTCTCTCTTACGCGTGCTGCTCGCTCTCTCAAGCTCCAAAGCTCCCTAGCATGTATGTGGCCGCCGGCCCTCGCCTCTCCATCTCTCTATCTATCTCTCATTTCTTTCAGCTGCGGCGTCACTTTCGTTGGCCCAACGCTAACGGTACAATACATCGCCACTCGGGCGCGCTCGCTCACCAGCGCTTGAGCTGAGCTTGAGTTTGAGATCTTTTCGTTGGGCTTCGCTCTCACGCGTCGCTGCCGCGGCGGCTGCTGCCACTGCGGGCTGCGACGCCTACTTTTTTTGGGGCTGCGTTTTTTAAATTGTTCACATATTTTTACAGCTGCTCAAGACGCGCAGTCGCGATTCGTAGACGTGCATTCAATCCAGGCGGTCGTCGCTTGTCGCAGCTCCCAAAAAATCTTCCAAAAATCTCCACGAAAAATCTCGTCCCCAGCGCGTGTGTACCCCAACCCCCTGACTAGCCTGCCCGAAACGACACAAAACGAAAGTAAAAGTGCCAAAAAATTGTAAAAAAGGAAGATCGACTTGGAGCCATTCTAACGGTTCCCAGAGCCCCCAAAAGCTACACTGAAAATATATTTTAAAAAAAAAACCAAAAGCAGAAAAGGAGTTTCGTGTGCTATCAATTTTTTTTTGCGTTCCATTTTGTTTTTGTTTCTGGTGAAAATGATATAGAAGAAAACAAATTTTATTTAGCACAAGCCCGAACCGACATTGGATACTTTTGCCTGTGGTTGTTTCCATCTGTTGTTTTTTTTTCTGTGAGTGTATTTTTTGCTGAGTGAAAGTGAGGCAGAGACGTCGCAGGAACGTGCCCGATCAATTTGTGGGCCACTGACTCACACACGCACAGACACCATCTTACCATCATACCCGATCTACAGCCGAACGGGAATGGGAATGATGGGTCACCAGCAGACGATGCTTGTGCTGGCCTTGCTGCTCTCGCTCCTGGCCACACCGCAGGCGGCCATCGACAAGGACGAGGGCAAGCAGTCCTCCTCCTCCTCCGTCAGGCACAACATCACCGGCGATCAGCACAACGTGATTAACCTGAGCCTGCATCCGGGCCAGGGCCTGCCCACCACCAACGAACCACTTCCGCTGCCATCAGCCATCGACCTTACACACGCCCGCCGCCTGCGGGATGCCCTCAACGTGTTCGATCTGACTCTGCTGGCGGATAACTGGAGCATCCTGGAGGCCTCCGGCGCCCTCGGCACCAACTGCAGCAGGGACATGCGAAGCTATCTGAGCGGCCTCAGCAACTCCAAGATGTGGGCTGTCAAAAGTAAGTCCAATTCTAAGAACATCCCCAGCACGGATGCACAGGATAAATCACTTTCTCTTCCAACGGTCACATACTAATTATTGAAACATATTTTGGCTGTACAGAAATGGGGTGGGTTAATCAAAATGGGCGTATTATTTATTTATTTATTACTTATATAGGGAGTCACTTGAGAAGTGGCTCCAAGCATGCGGAGTGATATCAGGTGTCGGGTCGAAATGACATTTAATCTCCTTGCTTCACTTCAAGCATTTCCAAACTTTAGAAAGATTTGAGATCAGCTAAGGATCAGATATCGAGCGATGACATTGGCTCATAATTTCATCAGATTTAACTACAGCAGAAGGATCATAAGCCAAGACCAAGACCATGTAGTTTAATTAATTCTATTAAATTGGAATTTTTTTTTTTGGGAAGGTTTCTCTTTGGTCATAAATTTCACAGTCTACCCCCCCATATCATATCGCAGTTTCCACACCGGTTAAAGATTATTGTATATTGTATGTACCTCTACACGTATCAATTGTGGCGCGACTCATTCGATGCATTCGATCTCTTCTACCGTGTATCCACCGCCTCCGGCCCACGTTCGCTCATGAACGTGCCCCATTCGCCATTCGCCGTTTGCCGTTCGCCAGATCGCCAGATCGCCATATCGCAGCTTTGCGCCGGATCGGTGGCGACTTGCAGAGCATGTGGCGTGGCGCATGCTCTGATCGCAAATAGACGAACTCGCCCAAGAGCACAGCACGAAATCTACATAAGTGCACGACACTGGTACGAAACGATCGCGATACGCGATATCCAAGGTCGCAATTAGTTCTTGCTTCGTTCTTGCTGTTGCAGTAGCAGCAGTAGCAGCAGCAGCAGCAGGCCACAGCAGCAAAAACTCAATCCATTTTTCGGCTAGTGCAGTAGATTTTTTTTCGGCGTTGATTTTCCAGTGAATTTTTGGGCAAATTGGTTTTGTTTTCATTCTCTTTGTTTTTTGTTTTGTTTTTGGTTTTTACCAATTATTGATTAACGGTTAAATTGTAATGGCAACTGCTTGCATTGTACTGCTTGCAGGCAGTTCGGACCGTATGGGCGGGGAGCAGCTGTGCGCAGTTTTTTCTTCTGACTGTCGAAAGTGAACCAAAGCAAACAGAACGGTGGAGCGGAGCGCAGCGCAGCAGGCAGGCAGAAATTATGAATAAATGTTGTGCGACTCGTTTTATTTTCGATTTTTCTTTTTGATTGCGCAGCCGCAGCCGCTGCCGTCGCTGCCCTGCCCTGCCCCAATCCTATCGATTCCAGCAACCTGAGACCGAAACCCCACTGACCAACTGACGTACGTACGTACGTACGTTCGTTGCCCACTAAGCCACTCACTAACTCACTCACTCACTCACCTCACTCACTCCCAGAGCCTATCCGTGTGTGTCTGTTGCGCTGGTTATGTAATCAATTAACACGAAAAAAAATGCTGGTGCAAAGACGAATCCATGAAGAAAAGGAAAAGAAAAAAAGAGAAAGAGCGGGAGGGCGGGAGAGGGAGATCGAAAGGGGCAGAGAAATAAACACACACCGAAAAAAATAAAAGTGTTTGGGTTTCTTTCAAAGTTTCTTTTTTTTTATTACGTTCAAAAATCGTTGCACCATGGGCCCGGCCCCGGCCCGGAAAGTGAACATCGTAATAGTAATCGCAATCGTACGAGTAATCGCTGAAAGCGATTTTTTTCCCCTCGATTCCCCGATTCAGTTCAAGTTCAGCATTTCAGAGAGGGAAAGAAAGACACCGGGAGAAATGGTGAGTGGTGGGAAATGAAAACCCAAGTCCATGGCATTGTTTACGTTTTTGGTACTTTGGTTGTTATGCGTGCACCAGAGTACTGGAGCTATCCCCTCTCAATGGGGGATGTACTTTGGGGATTCCTGTTCATTTATCTTCTGCCATTTAGGAGGATCCAATTCACACTCCATATTTCCTTCCGCGCTTTACTCAACTTCGCTTTACTTTCGCTCAGGTGAAAACTGGCTGTGTGGCTGCTGCTGCTGCTGCTGCTGCTGCTGCTGCTGCTGCTGCTGTGTGGCTGTTACTGTAAGCCATGTGGAGCTGTGGAGCAGCTGGGGAGGTGGTGGTGGATTTCGGCGGCATCTATGTCAATGTCTTCATGTAAGCATTATTACATGAGCGCCACCGCCAGCAGCACCAGGGCCACCGTTTTTCCTGTTTGCCCCCCGCCGTAAACGTAAACGAAAACGAAAACCAAACCGAAACCGAAACATAAACCGGACTCTGAATCCATATGTCGTCAGCTCTTTGGAGCTCTTGGGTGGGGTGGGGGGTGGTGAGGAGGGCTCTTTAACTGGCTGGAAATTGGTATTTAAACGCCTCTTACATCCATCCAGCCATTTTCAGCCACTGCGGTGCTGCTGCTCGAGTGCTGCATCGCAGTACGAGTATCTGGTGCACAAGGCGATCGATGGCCAAGATCAATGGCTAATAAATTGTGGCCGTGTTAGCATTTTGCTGCAGTTTTTTTTCCGTCTGTCCGTCTGTCTGCCTGTGTGTGTGTGCTGTGTGCTGTGTGCTTTTTGCCTGCTGGCAGCTACGCTCCGTTGGTTTTTTGCCCGATTGCCAGACCAAAGACTTTGGCTAAGTTGAAGGTTACAAAAAATGCACGGCCCATGACAAAAGAACTCTGCTCGGGGTACGATGATCATTCTGGTGGTGTCAAGTGGAAGGTTGGCTGCCTGATACTCAGATTGCAAAAGTATTTATATAATTCCATTGTTTTATTTTACATATGAAAATCATGCAAAAAAGGCGAAAAGCTAACAGCAATTAGCACACAGTAATATCAGAAATGTTATCCGAATGTCTCATCGGATCGAAACATGCATATATCCATAACCCTTCATACCCTCCCTCTGCGCAGTTGAACTTCAATTTCTGTGTGTGCGTGTGTGTGTGTGTGTGTGTGTTGCGGTAACTTCTTTGGCGTTTGTCTGATTTGTGGTTCCATCTTTTGTTGCCGAACCCCAGCCGTTCGTTCCGTCTGAGGCAAAGGTCTGAGAGGAAGTGCAAATATTGGCGCAAGACATCATCCAACCCCAAGCATCGTGCGATCTGCAAACTTCCTCAAAACAAAAAAAAGCTTTCACAATTTGTATCTTTTCTGTTTTTTTTTTTTTCATATTTTTGTTTATTGTTTTTATTGTTGTTTTTGCTCGTTTGATATTCCAGGAAAAGAAAAATTATAAATTGCAACGTGTCAGTTTTGTCTGTTTTCCGTTTATTATTATTTCTGTTGTGAAAAAATTACCAATTCAAAAATTGAACTCGTCTGTTGAGGAGGAAGAGCGACTGGCAGGTGATTGAGCCGAAACGAAGCCAAAAATTGAGAAAACTGATGGCGAGACAATTGATCGAGGTCCGCAGAGAGGCATTGGCTCCATTTCGGTTGCCATTTGGCAGCCTGTTTTCTGGTCATTAGTCGCTCACAATGCAACCAACACACACACACACACACACACACACACACACACACACAAGCTTTTGTTTCATTTTTAGGCCAATATACTTAGCCGACTTTTGGTCGAGACTGGGACTTTGCAGGGGGGGGGTGGGAACTGAGTGGGGAGGTAACAGACCCAATTACAGTCTTTGTGCGAATTGAAACGTCACGCAACATAATTTCTACGGCTTTCCCATGTACAACAAATATGTTAGGGCTGCTGCTGTTGCTTTTGCTTTTGCTTTTTCCTCAGCTGTCTCTGTTTTTGTTGTTGTTAATTTTGATGTAAATATGTGGCTTTACGAAGCGATAAAGCAGAAGCGGACCCCGAAAATTGCACAACGAGTCGCCAGCAGCAGCAACAACAGCAGCAGCAGTGGCAGATTTAAGCCTAGGGATGGGATGGGACTGGGCATGGGTACTTCGTGCCCCAATGCTGCCTCAGCGTGCGTGTTTCGTGCCAAAGGGAGCCGCCTTCTACGGCTGCTCCCAACTACGCTTTGGCTGATGGCTTAAATATGGAAACATCCTGGCAGTTATTCGTTTAGTTTTTGTCAGCTGAAGTACACACACAGAGGTGCTACATATGTATGTGTGTGTGTGTGTGCACAACCTGGAACTATAAGCAGGACCATGAGCAATCCGTTCTTGTCTGAAATATTTCCAATACTCGTACTAGCTGACATGTAAAGGTTTCTGCCGGCTCTCATCTCTAGTTGAGACAAACAAGTCGCTCTCTCACTCCAGACCTCTCTCTCTCTCTCTCTCTCTCTGTGTCTCTTGGTATCTCTTCTGGCCAGACACAGCAGCGACGGCGTACAACATCAAAGCTTAGCCCCCCCTTATGTAATGTAACTTTAATTTGATTGTTGCAATGTCTTGCAGTTGTTATTGTTATTGTTATTGTTGTTGTCTGCTGTTTTTGTTATTGGCAGCGAAACAGCGAACGATTATGGCCAAGACAACTCGTGCAAACGGCCGGGCCGGGGCGGGCCTAAGCCAAAAGTTAAAGCCCAAATGCAGGCTGCAGGCTGCAGGCTGCTGGGCGCAGCCCACTCGAGTGGTAACTGAATCGTTACTACCACTGCGGGAAATTCGTATGTAAAATACTTTCAACTCTGACCGACTTTGCAGTGCAGATTTAACACCCCCCCACTCACCGCCGGGGCGGGGAGGCGCAGAGTGCGAAACCGAACGCGAAGGCTTACGCGCTGTTTTTTATTGGCCACCGAAACGAATGACTTGGGCAACAAACTCGTTTCTGGTAATTGTGCGTAATTAAAAGCCAGTCAGCCGTCCGAAGCAATGCAATTGACCAGCAGCCAAGAGCCAGCAGCCAGCAGCCAAGAGCCAGCAGCCAGCAGCCAGCAACCCCAGTGCCCCAGAGACGCTAAAGGTCTAGGACGAACATTTGGTAACAGGTGACAGCCGCTCTGGTTAGGAACTGGTTGGCCAGAGAACACTTGAGGCTTGATGGGTTCATGGCACACACAGAGCAGG